TTTATAGAGTCTCCTATGAAACGCAATCGGCATAAGCGACGTAATTGTGAAATATATGTATGACCGATAAGCTTGATTAACGTCCGCTACGGGGCTGTGGGCTATTCATTTGTGACATATAAAGTTAGGTGCTAAAATACCTATGTATTTGTTTAATAAATAGCAAACATCATTTAAAATTCATTAAAATCAATCTGTGCCATTGTTTGTTAGTACACGGTACACGTTAATGCGAGTACTAACTAAATAATTCGCAAAAACATATCCTCTAAACCGATTTTCGGTTATGGTGGTCAATTTCATTGAAACTAAACACCTGCGCGAGAAATATTGTAGTTCAAAATAATGCGTAAACATAATAGCAGTCCATATTACTTTTAGTCTCATAGCCTAAAAAAACAATTATTATCTATGAAAAAGCCATCGTTTCTTTGACAGAAAAAGTAATTTATTTGTTTAATTATATATACAACTAGCATTGCCCGCGGCTCCACTCGCGTTCAAATGACCTAAAACCAAATTCTTAGGTTTAACATATTAGTATACTCTTACATTGCAGCTTTTGTATTTTTTCTCTTAAATGAGATATTTTCCCGTAAAAAATATCCTCTATGTTGACCCGGATAACCAGCTACCATCATACCAAATTTTACCAAAATCCCTCAAATGGTTTTTCCATGATGCGGTAACAGACAGACGGACAGACAGACAGACAGACAGACACATAAAAGTTCTAAAAACTATAGATTCGGCCTCTGTATCGATAATAATGTCTATTACAATAAGATTTTCTAAAAAATATTTAATGTACCTACAGATTCGGCTTAGTAACAATTTTATTATATGTATAGATTTAATTCAACCTTATGATCTGTAAACAAGTCGTTAGACTAAGAGGAAAACGTTTCTAGTAAAAGATGGTGGGCAAGTATTTGGCAAGTCTTCGTATAAACAGCTTTCACTAGCTATTCGTTCCACAAGATGAAGGCAGGATCGATTTTAATCAAACTAATAACACAATACAACCATCTCAATTACATTTCACGGAATAGCTCCGTTTTGGTCTGACTATCATGGTCATGGTAGAGTGACCATGCTTGAAAATTACTTACAATTCAAGAATATTAACGTTTAGAATTCTTATGTAAAGAATGAGAAGAAGAAGTGGGAGAAGTCTAAACATTGAACGTGAATGGTATACACGTAACAGTAAACGTGAGTTTTATCAAAGAAAAATTAATATTAATTAATAGAATCTTATAAAAAAAATATCTTCGTTAGGAAAAAAGCGTAGAGAGAAATTTAATTAATACTAATTGATAAAATCTTTTAAAAAAATGTCTTTATTAATGAAAAAAAGGGTTAAAATATGCATCAACAATAGTATTATGATATATACAGAGCCTCGTTGGTCCAGTGGTTAGAATGTATGGATGCAGGTCGATAGTTCCTGGGTTTGAATCACAGATCGTGTCAAGTCCAGTTAATGAGTTTTTGCTTTACGCATTTCTCAGAAATAGTCTGGAATTGGGAAGATGTCGGTATTAGACCCCATATCTCGTAGAGCACGTAGAATTATCAGTCTTGCGCCTCACTAATCGTATCGCATCGTCGCGTCGTATCGGATTTACAGTATGAAAGGAACAGAAAATGCAATTGTATTTACAGACACACGAATCTCAGTTAAATTGCCGATCACCCGATTCCAAAATCGGCCAGAAAGACATGAATAATAAAAATTTAGTAAGTAAATTTTTTTTTATAAATATAATATATTTCAAGAAATTCCTCATAATTGAATTTTCATGGAGAACCCAACGTCAACATAACATAGGTCGTGCTAATCGGGCAATGGCAGACAATGCTTGGTCGCTGGGCTTTGTCAGCTCCAAGTCACCGCCTCTATTTTCATTGTTAAATTATTCTCATGTATTTGACATTTTCTTAATAATAAATTAATTTGATTTTACAATAAACAATTGTTATATTAAAATAATTTAGTATCTTTAGATACATAAGTAACTATGAATATCGCACATTATATCATACTAACAAACCCCTGCTTTGCATGTATCTAGCAAGTTCTTACTATCACTCAGGAAAAGTGTTAGGTAAATTGATTAGTTATGTTAAAAAATACCGTTTTTTATAATAGCAGTAGACTGTAAGATCAATAAATATTTATACAGATGGTTTTCCTTCACCTAATATCACCATAAACTTGGTCTATATAACTACAAAAATGTTGATTTTAAAATTATAACACAATTTATGTGACTTGTACCATAGCGTTGGTGGTGTAATGGTCAGCATAGTTGCCTTCCAAGCAGTTGATCCGGGTTCGATTCCCGGCCAACGCATATTTTTAAATTTCTATGAAAAATTTGTGACTTAAAATTATCATCATTTTATTGCTCATATTTTAAATGCAGTAAACTTTTAATGAGTGTCTTGAAGTATTATGTTTTATACCAGTTCATAGTCTATCGCCCACCGAACGTGTGTTCACCTTGTTGTGGTGGGGGGGCTCATTGGCGTCTGGCAGTTCAGCCGGGCGCGTAGCCAAGAAACGCACAGGGAGGTGGCCCACTTCGGTAGGTGGTGTACCATGCAGATTTCTCCTGATACTTCTCTGACTGCACAGTGGACCGTTGGAGCAACCCCATGGTTGCTTGTGGTCTGCTTCGGCAGGTCTGCCGACATGGTTCAGTGCGTAAGCGATCCTGCAACGCCCCATTAAGGCGGGGAAGGTTTTATTGGGTTTAGTGGGTAGTATTGGTGGGTAGTACCGGTGAATCCCACATCACTACCTGTATATCTACAGGTTGTATGCGTAAATACATTTCCCAGCATTATAAAAAAGTGAACAAGTATAGAATATAGCAAATATTTTTATCTTCAAGATATCAAGAATATTCGAGGAGTACCTACTACAGTTTAACCTAAATTTACTTTTATTATTTCTTTCAGTATTCTTCAACTTCTCTATGTCTGTCTATCTTAAACACTTAATCTTCATGGACCATTCGAGCTTTCTAATATAATCTCAAAAAGCTTTATCTGGAGCAACCCAACAACTGATAGCAAAATCAGGTTGAAATAAAATTAAATGTCATCAAACACCGCCTTTAACGCTTCTAAACGCTAAATTATTCATAGAACCACACCCGCATGGCACGCAGCCAATTTAAGATGAATAATTTAAACAGCCCAAATTCGAAGTTCACTCAAAGTCGGGATGGTCATTTACAATTTAGTAGCATTATAGACGTATATCCGATGGGGCTTAAACTCAGATCGACTCGGGTCGCTCGTGAGTGAGTGAATAAATTATAAATGAACGTACGAACGAGGTGTCAACGAGCAGGTGAAAATGGGACAGATTCGTACAAATTCGTTCACAAAATGGCGTTTTAATTTTACCATTCATTCTGCCTTATTCCTATTGTTTTAAGCCCTGTTTTTAACTGTTTGAGTGGTAAAATAATATTGTATCTGAAATTGGAAGAAAGTTAAATTTAATAATTTTAGCGAGAGAATATGGAATTTGTCGAGGTCAAAAGAGACGAGTGTTTGCGGAAAAGTTATAAAGGTCAATGTTGATTAAAATGTTAAGGTTTCAAATATATATATATATATATATATATATATATATATATATATATATATATATATATATATATATATATATATATATATATATATATATTGTTGGGACATTAACACACAGCACCATCTAGTTCCATGGTAAGTTACGAGGCTTGTGTTATGGATACCAGATAGTTGATACACTACACATATATAACTTTAAATACATACATATTATAAATATAAACACCCATGACTGGAGTACAAATATCCGTGCTCATCACACAAATGAATGCCCCCAGCGGGACTCGAACCCGCGACCGCTGGAACAGCAAGTAGGGTCACTACCAACTAAGCCAAACCTATTCTATTTAATATTGCATTTCAACAATATTAAATTAATACGAGTATTATCAGCTTTAATCAATCGAATCCGATTACAATTAAGTTAATTATACTATTGTAATCAATATCGCAATATGTCAGTTGTGGCTTGGAACACATCTTTATATATATAAAAGAAAGTCGTGTTAGTTACACTATTTATAACTCAAGAACGGCTGAACCGATTTGGCTGAAAATTGGTGGGGAGGTAGCTTAGAACCAGGAGACGGACATAGGATACTTTTTATCCCGTTAGACCGCGTTCCCGTCTGACGTGACATAAAACTCAAGAATGGGTGGAACAATTTTTATGATTAAAATTTTTGGATTTCTCTTAGTCTGGAATAGGTTAATAAGTATAAAAACACCAGAAAAATCACGAAAAAATAATTAAAGTTTATATGATTAACGCTGGCTAATAACTATTTATATCTATTTAAATCCTAGCGACGAACCCGAGCGAAGCGAGGGTGAGCCGCTAGTATTATATAAGATAATGAACACAAGTTAAAAAATATAATGTCAGTAAAATTTCATACTTAAATATATATATATATATATATTTTTTTATTCATTTGCTGAAAAATTTCGGAGCTTTTATTAACTTTACTTAGAATCGTCGCATGACAATCGTCAAATCTGGATAACAATACAACAATTTAAATATTTTAATTAAAAAAAAATTAAGTGAAATTTCTTTAGAATCGTGGTTTGAAACTCGATGAAACGAAAATGCGTCACGGCAAAGAGACAAACACAAAAATATATAGTTAAGCCGGCAAGAGAATGAGATAGATTACATTAAACAGGAAGTGAAAAATTAAAAAAATAATAATAATGTTAAATAAAATGTAAAATAATTTTAAAACTTGGTAAAAATATTATTAAAAAAAATTACCTTTCAATTATCCTACTTCTGATAATTTATATTCATCTCATTCTCTCGTAGGTTACTTTTCTGAAGTTTCACTTCTACCATATGTGAACATGTGCACACACGTACCTACACTATTTTAAATTGTGGAAACATGATTGGTCGTTGTGGTATGTTTTATATGTTTAGTTTTTAATTGTATCATATTGAACTGGTTTTTTCCCAAATAAAACAAAACAGAACAACACAAAATTAATTAATATATTAACATCGAGCTGAGCTGATGATAGGCCAAGTGTGGAATGTAAGAAACTCTGCAATGGCTTGTATTAAAAAAATTTAAGCTTAAAATTACAATTTTCATGGTTTCATTTAAATCATTTCGGTAATATCTATTTTTTTTTAATATTTAGCGTTCCCAAATCGCTAAAATGGCTTATAATTTCGCCATGTCCGTCTAACCATATGTTACAGCTATTTTACTCAACGACTATTGGAGCTACATTGTTGAGATTTAAGAGGTAGATGTCTTATATAAATCGCTATGAATAGATATCGTAAATAGGTAAATATTTTATTTTACTTTTAACGTAAGAAATAACTTAATATATTAAATTAAAATAAATTTAATACTTAATCTAATTGTCGTGGGCACTAGCAATAGCTACCAAGAATATGTTACGCCGATCCAACTCGTAAGTAATTCAATTCAATAACAAAATATCAACGCAAAGTAGTTTAACCCGTAAACATGAGTTGTTCATTAATTGAATGTAATGGAGGCACAATCTCGTCTATCATCTCCTCTTTCAAAATAAAAATATGAATAAATAAACAAAAACATCAAATATGTTCCATATAATATTACGTAGGTACCTATTACCTGTGCCTTTCTTCTTAAACTTAATTCTTATGAAAATATAACGAGAACAATACACGAAAAAACATTTACAAGAATATGTTCTTTTTTCTTTTTTCTTTTTTTCTTTTTCTCTATGTTCCAAACTTACAAAACTTCAAAGTTCCGACAAGATGGCGGAAAACCTTTGTTTTGGCGGCAAACGACGCGCGAAATCCTTGATTCACGCCTTCAAGCAATACGTCTACTTTTTCGAAACCAACCTAAAAACATGGAGACGACAACATTTATATTATTTCAAACCCTGTCTGCTTTAGAATAGAGTTTAAATTGAAATATATATTTATTTTAGCAGTAAAACGTCGTGGTTTGCCTTATAAAAGGCTGATTGTGGTAACGGAAGGCCCGAAAGCAGCTGCCAGCTCTTTGAAGTTCCATGCGCCTTTGGAAAATAGATTGTTGATTTCTCATTTTATATCTATTTTGTATTACTTTTAAATAACCTTTTGTTTTTTTAAAGCTGAACGACAGTTATTTTTATTTCATTTTCTTTCCTTTTTTTATTTTATGTTTAAATAATTGAAGAAAAGGATTCCGTGCCTAAAGTACCCATAAAAAAAACCCAAAGGAATCCTGTTATTAAGCCTAAACAGTAAATACTACAACACAGTCTGTGTGTCTGTCAGACCTTCCTAAAATAGATTTGTATCTTATAATAATTTCAACTGTATGTTTGTACAGTTAATCATAATAAGTTAGATATTTTTCATATAGAATGTAGAAATAATATTATTAATCTGTAAGAAGAAACTCGTTCGCATTGAGTCGAATGATGTCGTATGTATCTATCGACGTTTAATAATGTTATTGATAAGAAAAAATCAATTAATTACTTTTTACTGAAAAAGGTACACTAACTTTAATATCACTTTAAAGTAATTATTCCGCACTTTGAGGTGGAGTTTTTTTTTTATTTATACATGACGACCTCTGAGGTTTAAGCTATCGTTCAAAAAAGTACTTACGAAAATCGATACGTCGATAAAAAGTATCCTATATATTAATCCAAACATGCATAAGTTATTTTTCAGTGGACCTTGGGAGGTGTAGTACTTGTGTTGCTATTCCAAAAGCAGAGTTGACCGTTAGAGCAACCCTCTGGTCGATTTTTGGTCTCTGGTAGACCAGCCATCGTCCGTCGGAGCCCAAAGCGACCACGTTGAGAATGCCAGTGATTCTGCAGTTACAGCCCACTTCACTTTACATACATACATTATCTAATCACCCTAGGTGATTAACAGTAGTCTGTGTTACTCCAGGACCCAGGTCGTACCCACTAAAAGTCGGTCGAGATACAGTCGGGTTTTAGTGGGTATTACTGGCTTTGTCGGTGAGTCACACTTAACGACTTGTACGCATGCAGGAGGTATCCGTAAATGGATTTCCCAACTTTAAAAAAAGGACTTAAGTCGTACCCTATCAGTGTATTAAATTTCATCCAAATCTGTCCAGCCGTTTCAAGTTAAAGGCAAATATACACAAACAAACTCTTACATTTATAATAGTAAGTCCGATTATTATAAAATCATGAGATTTGATCCCGCGTGAATGGAAAATTTCTATTTACTATATATACAAATATTTACTATGGTGTGTATATTTGCTACATTCACTGATAATAATTACTAAGCAATTACTTCCTGTCAAATGGACAGCTACGAAAATCTATGGTATTTATATGATCGTAGTTCGAGGAATAGCTATAAATCACATCTCCTTATTTTATAAAGCCTAATATTATATTTCTCGTATCATATTAAATTCATTAGAAAAATAAATTGTGTCGGCGCCAGATTTTTTTATCGTCGACCCTATTGCCTTTCGCATAAGGTGCTTTATCTTTTATTATATCGAGCCATACATTCAACCAATCACACTTCTCTAGTACAACTTCGTCACTCACTACGTCAATCATACATATTATGTACATCACAAACAACTTATACTTATTAAACACAAAACAACACATTACCCATCAGTCTACTTCTTGCCCATAACACGTACACTACACAAATTTAAAATTCATTGTAATTCTGTTAAAACAGAAGAATATTAATTTTTGAGATATCCAAATCTTTCTTTCGTTCAACGCGAACAAATTGCTTACATAAAGGTTGCATTTACAATTTCTAAAATTTTGTTGTTAATATCTCGTTACACCTTTGTAGGGTTCCGTACCCGAAGGGTGCCAACGGAACCTTATTACAAAGCCTCCGCTGTTCGTCCGTGCGTCCATCCGTCTATCAGAAGGATGTATCTCATGAACCACGATAGGTATAGAGTTGAAATTTTCACAATGTGTATATCAAAAAAGCCATGCAAATTAAAAACACCGATTATGGTACGGAACCCTTCATTTGCGAGTCCAACTCGCCTCGCACTTGACCGATTTTTTTTAATAATTAATAAGCAAATAAATAACGGCATTTTAGCATGAAGCATCAGCATGTTCAGCATATACTTCACCAATATCGCGTATCATATCACCATTTACTTCACCAATATCGCGTAGAATGGAGAAGACAAACCAAAAATCAAAATAAATCCAGCAAAAATTTCGAAAAGATATTCGCGTAAATTGAGAAAGTATTAAATACGCTGATTTATTCATCCTAGTTAATATATCTTAAAACCAACAGCCAATAGGAGAGCTCAGCAACATAGATGAATAATAAAATAAATCGTAGCATTTAGCAATCATCTACGGTAGCAAAATAGCTATTGACTTTTTTATTTAGCAGTATATGCTGTCCACATCAAACTTGACAACGTCAACTTCCGCCGGAAATTCAATTTCGCAACTATTTATTAACTAATTTTTTTTATATAAATTAAATAATTACATAAAATATTTAAAAAACTAATACTTTGTAAATATTTGCTAATAATATTTAAATATATACATTATACATATATTAAAAGATAATATATTTTTGACAAAATGTGATTTTAAAAGTTTGGTAACATGAAACAAGCAATCTATATTCTATACTTATAATAAAATTGTAACTAAGCCGAATCCGTACATTAAATATTTGTTGGAAAATCTTATTGAAATAGACATTATTATCGATACAGAGGCCGAATCTACAGATTTTAGAATTTTTGTCTGTCTGTCCGTCTGTGACGACATCACGAGAACTCCACTGGAGGGATTTTGATGAAATTTGGCATGATGATATCTGGTTATCCGAGTCAACATATAGGATACTTTTTACTGCGGGACAATATTTCATCTCTGAGAAATCTATACTAAGCGTTAAAACGCAAGTAGGGACGACCCGAGCGGAGCGAGGGTGAGTCGCTCGTATAATAATATAATGTCCGTGAAATAAAATATTGAAAGTGCTGCAATTGGTCACTTAAGATTTTTTCATCATTCATTAAAACTACAATATATAAACTTTCAGGATCTATGGTTAGTAACCAAAGATCCTGAAAGTTTACTCAGTTTGCAATTAGGCCGCATAATATGCCTCATTTTTTGTAAAGTTGTGTGGATAATGCAATAAAGTATTTTGCCTTGACTTTAATTATAAATATTATCGTGTTGAAATTGATCCTCAAAAAAACAGTCCAGAAACAAAAAGAAACATCACAAATCTATAACACTAATGAAGATTTGGTATGTGGGAATATCGAACCCGCAACATTTTCTGCAAAAATCTATTTTATAACAACGATAAAATATTTTAATTTCAGGGACATGACGTATTGTTGGGACATAAGTGACAAAACTTTTAAAATCACACTATGTGATAAATATAATATATTTTAATAACCAAAATTTACAATATTTACACATTATTAGATTATTAAACAATCAACGTGTTTTTTGAATTATTCAATTTAACGAAAGCACTTAAATACCAAATGGTTACGAAACTAAAGTTCCGGCGGAAATTGACGCTGTCAAATTTGACGTGGAAGCATACTATACGGCTAAATTGAAAAGTCACGGTGAAGCTCTCAGCCTATTATCACTTGCCTTATATAAATGTCAGTTAGGTACACTTTAATTTAGTGTTATTTTAAACTTCGCATCGTACATGTGACAGATTAGATGTTTATTTACATAACAAGAGCACCAAATATTTGAATGTTTTTTAAATAAACTTTTAGAAGACGAGAAAAGTTTCTTTTCAATTAGTGAACAGTATTACTTACAGGTAGGTAACATATTAAATTTTATTTACTTACATTGTTTCTAAATAACAAATTTAGTTCTATTATATGTATTATTTTTTTTATTTAATACAATTTTGCGTTTCGTGGTATAATGAATATCTATCATGTATTAAAAAATATCTAAATATGCTAAATTAGCAATAATAAAATAAATATATTATACCTACTATTATACAAAAAATAAAATTAAATTCTGTTTGAGGAAATTATTATAATTTTTTTTTATTTGTTTCAGAAATTTAAAGACAATAATAGACTATTTTACATAACAAGAATGACAACAGAAGACTTCAAATCACTGGCCGGAGTCTCTGCAGCGCTTACAAATGAAGTCCTTAGTGAAGCACTTTCCAAATGGTTTAAGGAAGAAGTTCAGTTTACACATTGGGAGGTAAAATAAACCTTATGTTGCTTAAAAATTAATTAATAATTAATTTAAACTTTCATTGTGCCACCATTGTGGCCAGATTTTGTTGCTCTGAAAGTAAAATAATTGATGTATTGATTTGCCCATTTAAAAGAACATACTTATTAGAAAACTAATTCACAATCTTTTACTCTATACTTGTGCTATAATCGTTACCAAATGGTAATCTTACATAATTTTAAATAGATATTATTTTGTATTTATTTATTTCACAAATTTAATTGTGTATAATTAAATTAGGTATAAGTCATGAATTTAGGAAAGTTCATTTATTAGAGATAGTCTCCGAAACTACTGTATGAAATCTAATAATTCTTGAAACAACATAAACAAACAGGCAGCAACACCACCTATGAGTATATGATATACGTCATCAATATACTGCATCCTATTTGTATGACATCTGTGTGTGGAACTAATATTACACTTGTTATTGTTCTCATTTCCATGCAATTATTTACTTTTATTGTGATTTGTTTGCAATTATGTGACAGAAGAGATAGCTAATAAATTGTGAAAAGCAATAAATAATTGTTATCTAACATAAAATAAGACTGAAAAATAAATGCATGTATAATCTATACTAATATTTATGAATGAATTAAATTTGTTCATGCTAATATTATAAAAGTTTGTGAGTTTGTGACGTTGTAGGGGGTAATCTCTGAATCTACAGAACCGATTTAGATGAAATTTAGTAAGAAGATAGTTTGAGACCCTGGGAAGGATTTTGTCCCGGAAATCATCCCTTAAGGGGGTGAAAATGGGAATGAAAGTTTGCATGGGGAATCAAGCTAGGGACGATCCCAAGCAAAGCGAGGATGAGTCGCTAGTGTGAAATAAAATAAGCTATGTATATATATTTCAAATTGTGATATACATATTTTTTTTAATTTTACTATATTTGAATTCATTTTGAACTTCCAAAACTTTTGTGAATGTTCACACAATTTCTGTTTTTTATGCTATACTCTCTATGAAACCCTTAGGTAATATATGTATGTATGTGTGTATGTATGTTTGTATGTAGAGTAGGTACTTGAAAATAATACAAAGAACACAAACATACCAAAAACACTACACACCCAAGCGTGGCTAGAACTCGCGACCTGATTTGGTATAGATGGAAAGAATAAAGCATTTAACTCTCTCCATGTCCTTTATACAAATAAGAATAAGAAAAAATACTTTTAAGGTCGTTGTAAATCACGTTTAATAAACTCGCGCGTATCATGAACATACGTCTACGAATGTTTTTCGCTGATTTAAAAAAATCCTGATTAGGTACTTGCGTAGCGTTTTAAAAAGTCGTCGTGTACATAGGCCCAAGCATATAAAATTTTGCCTATGAGAAAATTGTGGCCACGTTGGCCATACAAGCAGAATAATCTAACATTGTATACGAGAAAATGCCTCCGTATAAAAATCCTTGATTATATATTTTTGGGAAATGATATCCACTCTCAGTTTTTTACCGTATTACAAATTAAAAAAAAATACAAAAGACCTATATTTCATTTCAACTTTATATTTACCATTTTTTTTAATCTTTTTTTCAGTACGTTGGTGATACAGGCAAGGGTGACTCTTACCTTAGCGAAGTTATACGAATTAGAATCCATGGACTAAACACAAATAATAGGCCCTGTCACGTTCAAGTTATACTTAAAAACATTCCCAAAAATGTCTGTAGGCGTCTTACATTTCGAAGCGATGAGTTTTTCAAAAACGAAATCTATTTCTATCAAAAAGTTTTACCTGGTTTACTTAAGTTCCAATCTAAGAAGAACGTGTCTGAACCGTTCACAAATTATACCAGGCTATTTCTAGCTCATACTGATGGTTTGAACGACGTCATATGTTTAGAAGACGCGGGTTTACACAATTTTGGTAGTTTCACAGTTAGACAGGAAGGCATAGATTACGATCACTGCAAAGTGACTTTTAAAACGTTGGCACTATACCACGCTCTATCTTTTGCTATGAAAGATCAAGAGCCTGACGCTTTTAATAGAATTACTGATTCTATCTTCGAAACTTACTATGATCCCAGATGCTGGGACTGGTACAGGCTTTTTTGGCGTAGAATTTGCGGTATTGCAATAGATGCTGTGGAAAAGGAATATCCAAATACGATATATGTTGAAAAAATAAAACAATTTGCGGTACCGGAAAGATACGAGGACATGATAAGGGCTGTTCGAGACAAAACTAATGGTGTTATGTCTCACGGAGACTCGTGGACCAACAATTTTTTATATAAATACGATAATAATAAGCCAATTGCTGCGAAAATCATAGATTTTCAACTGACCAGATGTGCTAGTCCAGTTTTAGATATAGTTTTTGTAATTTACGCCTGCACAGACCAGGAGCTAAGGAAGAAGCATTATGATGAATTACTCAAATATTACTACGATGTGCTTTCCAAACAAATAAGGGAATTAGGCAGTGATCCAGATAAAATTTATCCATGGGATACATTTATGGCTGAAATTAAAAAGTATTCATACTTCGGTCTGGCGTTCAGTTTTGAATCTACGCCGTTTATTGTACTGGCTCCTGAGGATGCCGTGTCTATGGAAATGGAGGTAATGTTTTGCCTAATTTTTACACTATCATAATTATTAATTTTTAAATTTATTTTTCCAATAAATTAATAATAATTAGTGGGTACTGCTTTAAAAAATATCTCTAAATAAAAAGTATTTGCAAGGTGTTACATTTATTTTGATTGATTGATATTTTGGAAATATTGAAAATACAAATATTTAGAAAGTAAAAAAATTCGTTAACTTTGTGTTATGTGTGATTCAGTATTAGAGTTATAATGAAAATTTAGTTTTGTATGTATTTTTATGCCGAATCATAAAAAAAACTAAAATAAAAAAATTGGTCCAAAATATAAAAATTTTTTCGGGGTGGACCACCCTTATCACTTAGGGGTATGAAAAATAGTTTACGACCTATTTTCAGACCTACTAAATATACACACAAAAAATCATAAGAATCGATCAAGCCGTTTCGAAGGAGTTTTGTTACAAACACTGTGACACGAGAATTTTATATATTAGAGAGATATAAGCTAAAATATTATTTGAAAAAGTTATTTAGATTTCAAAAAATCATAATTAGCTTTACTAACTAGAAGTTTCCAAGAACTTTGAATTAAGTCATTAATATTGTTATAAAAAAATTAAAAATTCATTTTTCACCAAATCATAAAGCTAAGAATATCTTATCATTTTACTTACTAATAAAACATTTTTCCAATTTCAGGGAGATAAAAAACTAAATATCGATGATTTCTGGCAGTTGAAACCATTTAAGACCAAAGCAGGGAGATTGAGGGAAGCTAACAATGTAGTGCATTGTGTTGATAGAGGGTATATATAGATATTAACATTAAAATACAAAATAATTCATTTTCAACCTTACGCTCTAGTATTTAGATATATAATCGTATGTAGCGGCCGACCGAATTAAGATGTAATAAAACCAAAAATATGTCATATTTTATTCTAAATATTTATACTCTGTGATATTACTGTGTTCATTATAATGAGAAAAATGTTGCCATTTATATCTGAAACTAACAGAAATATATCATATTAAACAGTCTTAATTTTTTTTTCTATTTTAATGGCTGTATAGAGGTAAGCATAGTACATAAGACTATCATAAAATATTAAAATATATAAGAGATAATTATATTAGAGTATTAATGATTTTATTTTGTTAAAGATCTCCAACAAAAGATACACATAATACTTTCTTAGATTTACGCGAATATTTGACATTTCAAATAAAAACTTTTTAACAAAAAAGTTAAAACCGACTTCCAGGCACTAAAATGTAAAAAATAACTAAACGGGGGTTTTCATTTAGAATAGATACCTAATCAGATATTTTCGAAGTCGGTGCCAGCCAGTGATATTTTGAGTATAGTTAAAATCTATTGCTTTTGAATTAAGCCTATATCAAAAATTTTTAATGTAATTTCTTTTTGATTTATGGAGTTAAAATTTTTTTTACAATTATATAACGATGTTAGCTATTGAAAAAAAAATCATGCATATTCCCTATTGTACACATTTTATGTAAACAAATACAACTAATGTGAGAATAAAATTAAGATTGTTATGTCTATATGAAATAAAAAAAGCACGTAATTATAGAGTATTATTTATTTGTCAGTCATTATAATATTTTTAATTGTTTACATCTATTAAATTATATTTACAACAAATTCTGTTTATTTATTCCCTCCATGACCGCGGACACGCCGGCGTTACAGTTAACAATAGATTTCTTAGAAATTTACCTGGAGGTGTTAATTTTCTATTCGGAACATTTTAGTTTTTTTTTTTATATTTCCTTAAGTATTAGCTATATTTTCTTTTTAATAATTGTGATTAACTAAGTAATAATATATCACCATCGATCAAAAAAGTACTAAATACACAATCCCATGCAAAAAATCTCTTAAAGCTGTCGCCAATTGTGTATAGATTTATTGTAGTTTAATTAAATATACAATCAATGTAAATTGAACCTTAAATGCAATGCTTAAAGTTATTTTCATTAAAAATAAAATTAAAAGCGCGCTCAAATTTTGATATGAGCGCTCATTCGATGAGGACATTTTTTGTTGCTGATTGTATATCTAGTACTTTTTTGATCGACGAATGTATGGCATAGAAATGTCGTTCTCCATGGATGTAATGGTGGTAGGCTATTGATGTTGGGTTTCATTTTCGTGTGCCGCTTATTTATTTATTTATGTACCAAAAAAACTTATTTCTTTAAGAGAGAGTGTGGTGTAGGTATAAATTACAAACATCAATTATAATATAAATAATAAATATGCATCAATTATAATATAAATAATAAATAATAATAAATATACAAACATACATACATACGTACATAGATATTTACATATATTTTATTATAGTCATCTGATTTATTATATAGTTCATGTAGCATAATATATAAGGTGAAACACAATTATTATAAATGCGAATGTTTTTATATGTGTGTCAGTAAGTATGTATGGGTGTATGTGTATATGTCTGTCTATCTTCACACCGAAATTGCTGGATCGATTTGGGTAAAATTTAATATACAGATATACTATGACCTTGGGCCATAGTAAGTAATAGGATTATGAGGTGAGCATGGTGGTGGTCGGCGTCGTGGTTGAGTGCGTAAGCGATCCTGCGACGCCCCATTAAGACGGGGGAAGGTTTTGTTGGGTTTTAGTGGGTAGTTCTGGTTGTATTACGCCGGTGAGTCCCACACGTCGTGCGTAAATGCATTTCCCAACGTTAAAAATGGTACTATAAGGTGAGAGCGGTGGCGGTGCGCACGGGGTTGGGCGCCGCCGTCATGCGCGCGAGCACGGCCAGCTCGGGCGCCGGGAACGTGCGGGCGGAGGGCGCGATCGTGGTGCCGCCCGCCGCAGACTGCTGGGTTTCGTCCGGCAATTCGTTATCTATAATAAAATTATTATTTTCTTAAATTTACGCGTATAATTGACATTTTAAATAAAACTATCTTTTCGATTTTATTTTGATTATTGGTTGACGACGCTTCGAATGCTTTACTTACAGCAATCGTTATGTATCGCCCGTGACCATTATTTTTGTAATATGATTGAATCCATTCTAATATTATAAATGCGAAAGTTCGTTTGTCTTTTTTTCACGTCGCAACGGAGTGATGGATTGGCGTGATTTTTTAGGAGGGCTGGTGAGTGACAGGCTACTTTTTATGGCAGGAGATTACCTTACTCCCACGGGAAAACACGTTACAATACAACCAAAAAAAATATTTATTATTAGATTTACTTAAAACTTGGTATTAATGCTCTTCAATACAATTAAAGGAATTTGTATTTTAAGCATTTTTCGAAATTCATCCCATAAGGGGGTAAAATAGGAGATAAAAGTTTGTATGAAACCTACCTTTTTAGAGCTTTTTTTGTAATTTTAGCGCGAGCGAAGCCGCGGGTTCTATTAGTAGTTTATTTACGAATTTATTTCTTTCTTCTTTACCCAGAAACCAATCCTCTTACGTTACAATCGTAAATGTTCTATGAATAATAGTGAATTCATACGTAATACTGAACAGATTTTCATAAAACTTAACACATTTTCGACTCCAACACAACATTCTTATGGCATAATAATTCAATTTTAAATGTTGCTATAAGCAAAAACTAATACTAATATATAAATAAAAACGTCACCTAATTTCACCCTTCTAGTAGTAGTGCTAATAGAATCTGGCGGTATAGTGGAAGTGAATACATCATAATCTGGCACCCACTGCGCCTGGTCCAGGGGTTCGAATCCGAACTCGGTCTCGTGTGTGGGCCCGCGGTACTCCACCGGCTGCATTGTGAAATCCTCGTAATACGTGCCTTCTTCTAATCTCCAATCATGCATATCTATAAGCGTCATATTCTTCTTCCATCCCCAAGCAAACATTTCGAACCGGCACGTGTCCGAGAACATTATGTAGACTGATATATCGAACGACGATCCTGAGATATTTATATATTTTTGAAATAACCAATGTAATTTTTACACGACTGCGGCTAAGCCCAAAGGAAGGTTATGTTTTTGTTTTGTATGTGTATCTATACTAATATTATAAAGCAGAGTTTGTTTGTGTGTTTGATTGAATGCGCTAATCTCAGGAACTACTAAGCCGATTTGAAAAATTCTTTTTGCATTAGATAGCCCGTTTATTGAAGAAGGCTATAGGCTATATATCATGGTACTACCCAAGGGAGCGGAGCAGTAATTATAAATGTCAATAATTCGAAAAGTCTTGTAGACTGATAGTGGGCGATGCCGCGGGTTCTGCTAGTTGTATGTATGTATCAGGGATGTTATGGAGCGTCGACTCCGATGCCGAAAGGAAAATGTTTATAATGTCAAAAGAAATATCTACCCCATAAACAAAATTGTTATATTTTTAAAACGTTGATCTTTTTAAGAGCTGTACGGATTTTGATGGAATTTTACAAGAAGATTTGAGTTAAAATGTCGTAATATAAAATATTAGTCAGATATCCCTCGCCATTTAAAAAAGCTCCTATCAACTGATGATGACATAATCTAATTTAAATCAACAGTTCTTGCAAGACATCCACAAAGAACCTGAGTTTTTGTGTTGTGTAATATTACAAGAGACTTTAGAACGTGTAAATAATATTATATATATATATATATACCTTTATATGAATAACATGGCGGTCCCCTGGTGTATCTCGAACAATAATGCTTAATTCTCATTTCCGATACAGCCGTAGCGTTAACTAGCTCCAGTGTGAGACAGGAAAACTCCACGTTTTCGTATATAGACATCTATAAAATTCAAAAATTCAAAATATTTTATTCAGCATTAAATTATTACAATTTTTTACTGAACGTCATGAGTCTACTACCAGTTCGGAAAGAAGAAGCCTCAGACCTGAGAAGAACTGGCGAGATCTATATAAATATTATTGGACGAATTATCTGTATCCGTTTGTGTTTTATAACTAGCGATGTGCCCTTGCTTCGCTCAAGTGCTATGTGACTAACAGTAGCCTATGTGTTAGGTACTCCAGGGTATACTATTTGTGTAGTAAATTTCATCAAAATCCGTCCAGCCGTTTCGGTATGAAGGAGAAACAAAGACATACATACAAACTTTAACAAATAGAAATAACATCAAAAAATATTGACATAGCCTTAATTCAAAAGCAATAAAGATTATAAAAAAATATATTTCACCTTTATTTAAGTCCCATGCATAATCCCTATTGCGGTTGCAGTATTGCTAAGAAAAAGCTAGTGTTGTGTGATCTATTACATACATACATTATACGTCAAAAACTGGTACTGATTGTTGTCCGTCCGTAACGATATCATCTCTCTGTAAATCAAGTTGATTTTTTCGCCTTCATCACAATTTCCGAATCTTTGATACGCACTACCTCCACCTGAAAATTATTTGCCTTATATTATAAACATTTTGTTTTTATGTTGATTTTTTGTTCCCGAGGTTCGAATGCTTTATAGCAAAGATGATCAAAGAAAAGTTTTCACAAAAAAAATTAAAAGCGCGCTCATATGTTCAAATAAACGCTCATTCAGTGAGGACATTTTTTGTCGCTGATTGTGTATCTAGTATTTTTTTGGTAGAAGAGTACAGTCGGGTGTGCTTATAAATACATAGATTCACCTTGCACTATCCGATTGGCGATTGCCCTTTCTAACGCTTTCGTTAGACTGCCACCTCCGCGTTAATTACTAAGAAATTAATAAAATTTCTAAGAAATCTATTGTTAACTGACACGCCGGCGTGTCCGCGGTCGGGGAGGGATTAAAAGATTGGTATTAGAATGAGATAGAGATAATATTAATTCAATGAGAGTATCAAGAAAGATAACTTAGATATAATCAATATACTTTGCTGTCCAAAAAAAAAGTTGTTAAAAAGAAAATGGACCAAACCGTAGTTACAGTAGCATAACGTATAAACAAAAATACTCTTACCTCGTAAAATATACTTCTGATTAGACATCTTAGATATGCTAATTCGTCTGAATTTGCTCAAGCTGTGCTCTATCCACGGGTAGTAGCTCATCATGTCTAGGTATCGGGATGGGGCGCCGCATCCCGGGCCTCGGACTCCTAAACCTAACTGAAAATGTTAAACGAATCGTCTAAAAATATTGTAACTACGAGTATAGATATGTATTTTTAACTTAAAATAACTGAGATATAAATTCAATCCTTTAGACGAATTAGAGGTAGTATATTATATACTAGCATAACCCGGGGCTTTGCTCGTGCTAAAACTACAGAAAATCTCTTAAAAGGTACGTTACATCCCCTATTTTACCCTATTACGGGATAAATTTCAAAAAATGCTAAAATATGTTTGTTTAATTGTATTAGAGAGCATTAATACGAAGTTTCAAGTAATTCTGATCGTAAATATTTTTGTGTTGTATTATAACGTGTTTCCCGTGGGAATGAGATAATCTCCTACGGTAAAAGTAGCCTATATCACTCTCCAACCCTCCAATTATCTTCACACAAAAAATCACGTCAATCCGTCATTCTGTTTTAACGTGAAAGAAGGACAAACAAACAAACACACTTTCAAATCTATAAACATAAAGTATAGATGTCAATCAAATCAAAAATCTTACCAATTGCCATCGTCCCCATACATCGCGTGAAACTAGTGCAGACCCCGCATTCCACACGCATATGTCATTTTCTCGTAACGAAACAGCACACGCTACGTGTGGTGGACGCATTTTCTTTGAATATAACTGTTGAAATTAAAAAAAAAAACGTTAAGTGTGAGGTGGATTCACAGACCGAAGGTTTCAAGGTTAATTGTATTGATGTATCTCTAAATGTTTAAGAAACGGTAGCAATGTAAATTTCTAAGGACGACTCGACTCAACCAGTTGTTTTCCCGTGGGATTGAAAGACTTTCCAGTAAAAAAAATTATCCTAAATATTCACTCGAGTACCTACCGAATAAGTTATCACTACACAAAACTTAGTTGAAATCCGTACAGTAAAACGCACACAGATATACAGACAAACAGTCGGATGCGCCTCACGCGCATCTAGCCTAGCATTGTCCGATTGCCCTGTCTAAACCTTGTCTAGCCTTGTTTTGAGGTCTATATTCTGTAAACAATACTTAACAATCATCTTTTTATTTAAATATTTCATGTACAGATTTCGCTTTGTTACTTACTATTTTGTTACACTTATGCATAGATTCTGTTATTAAAATCTCTAGTACCAACCCTAATACTAGGAGTATTAGGGTTGTCAAATAATATTGCTTTTTATTTTACTTTAAGGATTTTAAGACTATTTGTAAATACTTACATTAGTTCGAAGGTAAAACTCTCTACATAAACTGGGCATAACATGTGTGACTGGGATCACCTGTTTTTGGAGATGGCTGTAATCTATAAATAGTATGGTATTTTAATAAGAAAGTGCAGGTAAATACAAAATCCCTAACAAATTAAAAAAAATGGTAGCTTTAAATAAATATATGTATCGGGCCCCCCATATATGATATTCCCAAACAAATATCTTTTCTACTCACCCTCGCTTCGCTCGGGTTCGTCCCTAGTCTGCTTCCCAATACAAACTTTCATCCCCATTTTCAGCCCGTTAAAGGATGATTTCCCGGATAAAAAGTATCCTATGTCCTTCCCAGGGTCTCAAACTATCCTCTTACAAAATTTCATCTAAATCGATTCAGTAGATCCAGAGATTACTCCTACAACCTCATAAACTTTTCCTCTTTATAATATTAGTATAGATTATGGGGGCCTCGCCTTAGACTACTAAGTAAAATGGCACTCATAAATAAACTTTTAGACCTATTCGTATCCGTAAATCATACCTTGAACGAAACCAATGAAACTTAGTATTACCAAAGATGTCCTTTTTTATTGTTCGAGGCTCTCACACTCCTAAATAAAAACGTGGACTTTTCCTATGGCACTCTAATAGTTAAAAGAATCGCCTGCCACATTATATGGTAAAGGACTGTACATAGAGAGGCAAAGACATAGGCATATGCCATATAATATAGTTTGAAAATTGCAAAATCACTTTATAAGTAATTATTACAACCTAGGAGTGGATTTTTCCTATTTCTCCATACTTGTGCATAACTTTTTACCATTTGCCTTGGCCATTTTATATAACAGGATGTTTGTAAACATGATAAGACAGTATCTGTTATCACAAATCACACGATTTTCCTACTAAATATTAAAATTTGAATGGAAATATTAAATTACCTTCCATATCCTGAAATTTTACAACGTAAAAATCTGGATTCCTCAATCTGGCAGGTGGTGGACATAGTGGTCTTATGCGCTCTATGGACATATTAATAAAGTTATCAACTATTTCGTATATACCTTCTATGCCGAAAGTCACAGATTTGATTCCCGTACAGTGTATAATATGTTAATATTTGTAAAATACAAATCGTTGTCTCCTAGGTTGTTTTTTTGTCTGTTTAATATAATGATAATAATGTTATCAAAGAATGTGAAGGAATTATTTTATTTCTACATCTTAATTATAGAACGTATACTACATACAAATAGCATGTACCTATACTGCGGCCATATTTGTATGTATTTTAATATTGAAATATTTAAATTAATAAATAATTAATAAAGACTTATTACAAAAACAATATCTTGGACAATTATTTTCAATTTTAAAATAATAATTATTATCATATTAAATATGTTTTTAATATCTGCTTTTTAAAATTAAAAAAATATATAATAACCATTTCTTACTGGCGTGCTGAGTTGTACCAAAGCAACAGTGTTATATGTTTCTCCATACTCCGGATGCAATACATAATTGCGCACGCGACGACCGCCATACTGCCAACCCTCCCCGAGCAAAACTCGTGTGTTTTGTCTAAAATCGTTTTATTTTCAAAATTTATAATGTACAAAAGAAAAGCCCTATGTGTTACTCCAGCTCCTCTATACATATAATTCTGAGTCGAATCTGTACATTCAATATTTTTTAGAAATCCTTAATGATATAGCAGAGGCTGATTCTACAGTTTTTAAAATTTTTGTCTGTCTGTGACCGCATCACGAAAAAACCATTGAACAGATTTTGATGAAATTTAGTATGATGATAGCTGGTTATCCGGGACCACATATAGGATACTTTTTACTGCAGGAAAATATCTCATCTCGGAGAAACCTATACTGAACATTAAAACGTAAATAGAAACGAACCCGATCGGAACGAGAGTGAGTCGCTAGTAGACTATATATGTACTAACAACCAAATCCATCCAAGCGTTTTAGCACCAAGGAGTAACAAAGATACACACATCCATACAAACTTTCACGAATATAATAGGTGCAACTAATGACTAAAAACCTAAAAACTCTTTTGCAAGATATTATTATAATATACTTACCAATTACCATCCACTTATACTGAACTAAGTAGTATAAAGCAAACCTTAAAGTATAATAGTACTTCACTTTTCATACCATGAATTTCTGGGTAGAATAACTTAATTAGGTACACTTTAAGCTACAAAATGATTATTTTTTTAAATAGAAAGGAGGTTTTTATATTTAGATAAAAAAATCTCGCAGAATTTAAGCTTTACCTAAAGTCAATTTTAGGCATTGGTCCTATGTCCGCAGCCGGGGCTATCACGAACTCCGCCTGTATTAAAGCCACAGTTGTGACCGCACGGCCTTCACCTGTATCGCCATCTTTAAAAACAATCATTTTTACTCAGTGTACAAGTTTTAAAAAAAGACCGCCAACTCCCAATTGACCAGCGTGGTGGACTATGGCCTGATCCACCTCGTATTGAAGGGAGGCCCACCCCCAGCAGTGGGACGTTAAAAAAAAGGGCTGAAGCCTGAATATGTGTGTCTATCTGTCTGTCAAGACAAAAGAGGACAAGTTGCTTGAAGTCTTAACTCTGGACGTGAGTAGTCCAGATAGACCTAATAGAGAAAAAGAGAAAGGAGAAGGAAAGCAAAAGAGACATCAGATATTATCTAGGATTTAAACTAATATCTAACTATTTAAAAAAAAAAACATTATATATTATATACTTTGCACATTGCAAAGCCTATTTTATTTATGTACAATGTATGTTTATCATCTTATTTAAGTATATGAATATTATTTACAATAATTATTCTACTTTGTATGAACTGCACTTTTTAGGCCTGCTAAAACAGTATTTTTCACTTGATTGTAAGAAAATGGTTTGATACCCAGTCATTTAGAATAAGAGACTTTAATCTAGTACATATAGTGGTAGGGGACCATAGGCTCCCCAGCCCAAGAGGAATTTTTGGAGTTACTCGATCGAGGCAGATTAACATAAGAGGGGATACCTTTCAATCCGTTGAGTACCTGCACCATAATATAAGTCCTATATATAAGGGCGTGTGTCTAGGGCAGCCGATCAAAATATTATAAAATATTATAAACTGCCGCCCTTGAGTAACTCCAAAAATCCCCTCTCGGTCTCCTCTACAATAAAGAGTATAAACAAAATAACGAATAGATACATACAGAAGCTATAATATAATAATCCAAGCCAAGGATACTTCTTTATATCCACATCTCCTTCAGAAACATCAAACTCATAGTCTATTCCGCAATCTATTACATCTAATTCCACTAATTGTACTTGTAATACTGCAATAAGCAAAAAATAACTTCAAATTATTTAAAATTTACGGCCATGGGCGCCAGAAGAGGAGTGCGAGAGGGTGAACCCCCTTCTCATAAAGTAAAATATATAAGAAAAGTTAAAAAAATTAAATTATAGTAGTAAAATCTCTGTTTGAATCTATATATATGCGAAAAAATATTATATTTTTGAAAAAAATATATAAAGTTATATATATATAGTTAAATATTTAAATATCAGTTAGTAGTTTTATGTGAAGAATCATGAAGCAGATGCACCCCCTTGGATTTCCATTTTACACCCATTTATGTACCAAATGCTTTTTCTACTAAAATTAGTAAAAGAACTTACCTTTGACTAATATAATGAAAACAGTTATTGAAATATAAGTATACATTTCACATTAAAAATTACTTCGCTAATAGTTAATGTATGCAAAGTTGTTCCGACAATGAAGTCTCGATTTATTATAATCTCTCAAGTAATTTACTCAGTAACAAATAAATATTATTATTGTGAAATTTGAGAAAGTTTTGGATATGTTTATACAAACAAAATTTGTTTACTCACTCTTAAGATGTAAGAAATTAAACAAAAAATTCTTAAAATTATCTTTATTGATACAAATACTATGTATTTACAAAAACTGTTTATGTTATGACTAGCATTGCCCGCGGCTCCGCCCGCGTTCAGATGACTAAAAACCAAATTCTATGGTTTTACATATTAGTATGCTCTTACAATGCAGTTTTTGTATTTTTTCTCAGAAATGAGATATTTTCCCGCAGTAAAAAGTATCCTATATGTTGACCCGGATAACCAGCTATCATTATACCAAATTTCATCAAAATCTGTCCAGTGGTTTTCTCGTGATGCGGTAACAGACAGATAGACAGACAGATAAAAATTCTAAAAACTATAGATTCGGACTCTTGTATTGATAATAATGTCTATTTCAATAAGATTTTCCCAAAATTATTTAATGTACAGATTCGACTTAGTTACAATTTTATTATATGTATAGATTTCAAAAAGAAGGATCAATGGATTCAAATTTGAGTCTTTTCTGACTTCATTATAAAAAAGTCATTTTTTTCATATTATTCAGAATTTGTATTTACTTACTTAAAATATTGTCTTTTATAAATAAAACAGGAACACTCTTATGCACTTCTTAATCCAGTTGTTTTTCTATAAGCACTAAAATGTTCTAAGTACTGATATATAGTATCTATAGGTGTATATATTTCATTCATTCGGCTTAATAAATGTTGAGGAGGCTGAACAGGTACAGATGGGCCCAAAAGACCCTGTAGAAATTCTCTAAGTAAGCCCCATACTGCATTTGCCATTACACAAGGACGGTATTCAACCTAACAAAGTAAAATTGTTATATCATCATGAAATTGAAATTAAATATATACTATTTCAATTATTTGAATATATAAATAAAATGGGCAGGCACTTTATTTCTTCTCACAATATGCTATTAATAAATAAGTTTTGGTCAAGAGTAATAAGGTCATATAATATAAGTATGTCTTAATGTTTAATATAGATTTCTCAGAGAAGAGATATTTTCCCACAGCAAAAAGTATCATATGTGTTGACTCAGATAACCAGTTATCATCATACTAAATTTCATCGAAATCTCTCCAGTGATTTTATCGTGATGCATTCCCAGACAGACAGAAAAAATTCTAAAAAATTGACACATATTTGAACAAAATTTCAACCATTATTATTGCACTCCCTAATTATTTAGATAAATATATTTTAAAGGACTTACTTCAATAAGAACTCCTTTGAAATTTTGATTCATTGTCACTGATCCAAGTTTTACACAAAAGTCGCCCAGTTCAAACCGTGGACCCTTACTTTCAATTTTTGTTTGCTTTTTAGAAGTATAGTGATGTGATAATTTCATCATGAGCAAATCAAATAATCCATCAGCTATTACATGAATGTTTTTTGTACCACTTTCAAGTATTGAGAACACTGAGGCAGGTTGTTCTGAATTGTGAAGAATGTGAACTGTTTTTGTAGTACCTTGAAAAACGAATGAGAAATTATTACAAAATCGTTTTAAAATATATTACTTTACAATCAAAGTATATTATTGAACATTTTTTCTTATAATACTTACCCATTTGAGGATGTGATAGATAACTTTCACAGTCTACAAGAAATTGTCCCTGTTGTGATGCTCCGAGGGCTAAAATTCTTTTTGTCAACAATTCAATGACATATGTACCCGTTTTATGTTCCGGCACTGGATATTGTTGTAAACTAAAGAAAAACAAAATTTGTTTAACATTCTGTTAATTAATTACAATGAATGAATGAGATCTAAGAAAAACTTACACAGTAACACCCATTTTATGTGTTGTATTTCCAGTAAAAATAAAAAATGCAGTGTTTATGTAGGTTATAAATATATTATTACAGCTTATTTACAACTTTTAACTACGAACATATGTATTAATATATAAGATTGTATTAAAATGTAATGGATAAAGATACAATACGCAATTATAATATTTTTTGTTATTTTCCACACATTTTCAATAATTTAATATCAATAAATAAGTAACAAACTTGATCAACCAAGAACTTTTGCTTTTGACAACTAAAATACATTCAGTGTTCACAGATGATAAACATTGTATAAAGACAGTCTTTTATAGGTAAAAAATAAATAATAACTACTACAGATATGCAATCTAAAGTACTTTACCCATTTTATGCTTTTAATTTATTAATTTGCAAAAAATATTTGTAACTTTGATAAAGTTTAAAGAAAATAATATCTCAATGATTGATTTCGGTTGATCAGCACATATTTAATATTAATTTAATATTTAACAATATTCTAGTATCAACAAAGAATAACAAACACTTCATGCCTACATTTTATGAAACCGCCAATCACAAAATCTTGAATTTATATTATAATCTTTTAACCAATAGGATTAAGGAATTTAGTTCAAAGAAAACAGCTAATTGAAATCACACATTGTAGGTGGACCAATAAAAAACGGACAGATATGAGATAATTTGATGGCAAATTGACAAGTGTGGGGGTCTCGATTTATTATTTCATCAAGTATTTATTTACGTTTAATCCAATTATATTTGGCTGTTGCATATCGGTAACGTTTGTTCTTTTAGCACTTTAATATCGTGTGTATTTATTACATCATTCAAAGTGTACGCAATTACAAGAATATTGTGGCAGTATTATTAGTGTTTTTTTTGTATTATCTAACATTTAGTGAGCTCAAAAATGATACCAGATAACGTAACATTGATTGTGAAGGCACCTAATCAGCAAATTGGGGATCAAAACATTGAGTGCCAGACTTCATGGACGGTCAGACAACTTAAGGGTCACCTATCAGAGGTCTATCCTAATAAACCGGTAATTATTGTTTATTTATTTAACTTTGTCTCCCAATAAATATAATATGACGCATTATTTACGTAAACTATTGATATATTTGCGTGAAGTTTATAATATATAATAATCAGTCAATCAGTAGTCTTGAAGCAATATTGTTTGTATACGAAAATATACAAATGATTCATAGTGTTTATTCATATAATAATGAATAAATGTGTATTTCTATTTTAATAAATCCGTGTATATTTTTTTTTATTTAGATTATTTTAATACTAAATTAATAAAAATTATGTGTATATCAATTTATAATATTTATTTTTAAAACACATAATATAACCAGTTATTATTACCTTTTGTATGTGTAACAATAAAAATGTGGTTAATTAGTTCATGCGCAATGCTTATCAAGCTAGAAGTTTAAAAATGTTAATGAGGTTTGGATAACTTTGTTATCATTACAGTTTTTGTTCACAACACCATTCAAAGTAGTACTGATAAAGATTTTAAAGTATTTGATATTTTGCATTTTAACATACTTTTACATAATACATAACTTTAATAACAACTCAATAATAACATTTTCAATTTTATATTTTTTTTTTTATTTTAGAGGATAATTAAAAAGTACTTATCGATACTAATATTATAAAGAGGAAAGATTTATTTTTTGTTTGTTTGTACCAAATGGGCTTCGAAGCTGCTGAACCGATTTAGATGACATTTGGTGATAAGATAGTTGGAGACCCTGGGAAGAACACAGGATAGTTTTTATCCTGGAAATCATTCCTTAAGGGGCTGAAAAGAGGGATGAAAGTTTGTATGGGGAAGCAACCTAGTGATGAACCCGAGTGAAGCGAGGGAGAGACGCTAGTAAATAATAAAGCAAGAGAAACTCTAAAATTTAAAATATTACTTTACAAGTTTTTTTTAATATTTTATTATTTGTACAACCAAATGGAAAACTAATCTGTGTTTTTATCTCATTTGCGTCAGATACTATCAAGATTGTATCTTTTTGTAAAACTTTCAAGGCTAGAGAAATCTTAAACTGAAACTTAAAATACAAATTAATTATTCATAGTATTCAATTTTTGCTAGCACAACTTGTGATAGATTTTATCTAACTTCTTACTTTCATTATAGTAAGACCGAGAAGTGAATTATGAACACTAGAAAGTTGCAAGTAAAAATGCCTTATTTATTACTTTGCTAGATATTTTGCACAACATATGAATAATATGATAATCTATCATAGAAAATAAAAGAAGTAGTAATTTATACCAATACTATAATCTTTAAATCTTTGTATATAATCTAATAATCTAATAATCTAATCTAATCTTTGTATCTACTGAACCGATTTAGATGAAATTTGGTAAGAAGATAGTTTGAGACCCTGGGAAGGACAGAGTACTTTTCATCCCGGAAATCATCCTATAAGGGGATGAAAATGGAGATGAAAGTGTGTTTCAGAAATCACGAACCTGAGCGAAGCGAGGGTGAGTCGCTATTAGAAAGTAAAAGAAGTAGTAATGAATTATAATCAAAGAGATCGCTTACAGATTTTTTTAAAGTTTAAGTTTGAGACTATACTTTCACAATTTCTTTTCTGTTTTATAACCATGCAACAACAATAGCTGGATGGAATTTAATTTGTTTTTTTTTTTTAAAGTACAACATAAACTATTTTAGGCTTAAAATTAAAACATCTATATAATATATCTATACATACTTATTTAATAACATTCTGAGTAAAGTTACTAGGACAATCATTATATAAAAGAAATGGGTTTCGAACCACTGGTATTTACACAATGTCCAGATTGTGGCTACAACCACGCATCCACTACTCCCTACATAAGAGTGTACATAGAAATATCTATAGAAACGTCGAAATTTCTAGATGTTACGTTTGGTAATAGCGTTTTGTTTTTTTACTTGAAATTGATACTTTTGTAATTCTGTAAAATACTTATGGCAAACTAAAAAAATAAAGCCAGAAAAAGCTTTTTTTTTTTAGATATTACTAGCTGACCCGACTGACGTTGTCCTGTCTACACGTCTTTAATTTGAAAATTTCAAACTTTTTTTAATAAGCTAAAACATTCTGGACCATTTTGATGAAAATTATTATTCAAATTGTGAATCTAAACCATTCTCAGATCCCCTTCAACACACACAAAAAATTTCATCAAAATCGGTCCAGTCGTTTGAGAGAAGTTCAGTGACATACACACTCACAGAAGAATTATATATATAAAGATTAACAGCCTCCACTCCTTAATTAGTAATTACCCAGAACCGTCACATTTCTAAATCCGGCCCAGACAATGATGTTAGTTCATTCTGCCATTAATCATCAACGCTACAGTTATTCTGTATATTATTGAATAATCGTTTTCTTGTAAAATAATTGCCAATTGTAATTGCAAATAATAAATAACTACCCACAAAGACCGGTTTTCAATTATTTTTTATCGATACTGCTTTAATTAAAATTTATTTATTTGAAATGTAATTGAAAAAAAAAAGTGTAACAGAAATAATTTATACATGTATGTACGTCATATGATTAATTCAGTAGATATTATCGGCATCCATATTGTACATTTAATATTATTTCGCTTATTATTCTGGGTATATTATAGGTGAAATGAAATTAAAAATATATTGTTAAATTATTTTCTAATTGTCTGTTAAATAGTTCTCATAACATTACTTGGAAAAAAACGATTTTGAAGGTATGGTATTATAAGGTATATATGTATTTTTATATAGTTTTTTTAAATTAAGAATTGACTAGTCAAACTATTAGAGTCCCACTCATAAAATGCAAACAAAATCTAGCCCTTTAATGCCCGATTTCACCAACATCCCATAAGCTTCCACCTACGTATGGGATCCCTAGCTTAAAAGTTCCCCTAAACTAGCCCCTAAATTAAATTTCGTTTACCATCGTCAGAGCCCGTACTTCTTATACCTATATTTAGGTGGCATTTTAACATTTAGGTGACCCCTAACTGTCGGTGAAACAGAAACTGTCCCCTAACAGCCCCCTAACCATGCCTAAGGGATACCATAAACTTGGTGACGTTGGTGATATACTTACGGAAGCCTGAACTGGACGAAGATTTATTTAGATAATACCTTTATCTTGATAATTCCGTACTAATCTAATACGTAATTAGATAATCTTTTAGACTTTAGATCTATGACAATATAAGTGAACTAGCGACTCATCACTCAGCCTCGTTACGCTCGGGTTCGTCCCTACTTACGTTTTAACGTTTAGTATAGATTTCTCAGAGATAAGATATTTTCCCGCAGTAAAAAGTTTCCTATACGTTGATCCGGATAACCAGCTATCATCATACCAAATTTCATCAAAATCTGTCCAAGTGTTTTTTACGTTACGCGGTCACAGGCAGACAGACAAGAATTCTAAAAACTATAGATTCCGCCTCGGTATCGATAATAATGTCTATTTCAATAAGATTTTTCAAAAAATATAAATAATGTACAGATTCGGCTTAGTTACAATTTTATTATATGTATAGATTTTTATGTAACCTACATGTTATGTCATTATACGGACGCCAGCCCACCATCAAATGTATCTATCTATATCTATACAATTGTATTTGGTTCATTGTTAAGTTCAAACTCCCTAAGTGTTAATTTATGTATCCGTTATTCACGGGTCGTTGGTATCAAGGTTTAAACTACTAGATTTATATATGTAGATTTGTAGGTTACAGACATATTTAAATACAATAAATACTTACACGAATTGAATTATTTACTTTTGGAAATAGTTTTCTTTAACTTCCAATGGAAATGGTTCAATAGATCTGAAGATTTTGCCGATTTTTTAATTATAGAAAATAAGGCATCTCTATTTCAAATAACAAATACGAATAATTTTTCTTTTTTATAACTAGGAACTCACCCTCGCTTCGCTCCGGTTCGTTCATTTTTTTGAACGGGACTCTAATTCTTTTTCTAAAGTTAAAGTAAGCCAAGTTACTCCACATAATATCAGCTATCTGTCAGCGAAAGTCCCGTCAAATTTACTCCAGCCATTTTAGAGATTAGGCGGAACAAAAAGACAGACAAAAATAAAAATAAATAGTTTTTCTTGTAAGTAATAAAAAGCTTTTATTTCAATATTACAAACAGACATCAATTTTATTTATCTGTATAGATGTTAATGAGATGTGATTTACGATACGAATAATTATAATTTAACAAAATGCTGGAAATCGTTTAAAGATTGGATTTAAATTTTCAAGCTAAGATTAGATATTATATTTCGTAGATAGTAAGAAGTGTAATAGTATAAGTAGTACCAACATTCATAATAGGTATTTGATTGTTTGTTTGTTTACATTTTCCTGCTGTGATTAAGTTGCTATTGTATGGTATTTGTTACGTATTTGAAAGTCACGATTTGCTTTAACCAAGATTTATGTAATACTTAACTGTGTTTTCGTTATAGCACAAGATATATTTTTGTGATCCTTTTTTACCTAATATACTAAATTTTCGAAATCTGTATTGGTTTGGCCTAATTTCAAAAACGACCAAAATAATAGATGTGTATTTTTTTACCTTTTATCGCAACTAAGGATCATTAGGAGTTCCTAATAATAATAATTGCAAAGAAATTAAAGAAGTTTTTTTTTACTTTCCATTGTTTTTTTTTATTTTGCTAAATTTACGATACCATATTATTATGAACCATTATTGGTTCGTTAATTTCACGCAAAAAAACATTAGAACACCTTGAAATATCCATATCCATTGTGAGTCCCGATGTTACCGTCCCGGTTGTATTTCCCTAAATCCGACTCTGGATTCTCATATTATGACATTACTATATTATATAGAAAACCTTAGAGTATATATAAGCTATGTATACTCTAAGTAGAAAACACTAATTAAGTACTATAATCTACGAGTTAAATTTTAACAAAATGTGATTCATTCAGGCTTCTGGAGACATAAACATCAGTGAATAACCAAAGTTATAATTAATTTCTTAACAAAACAAATTGGTTTATTGGATTATGTGTTAAGAAATTCACCGCATTGCGCCGATCTGGGATTCGAACCTGCGATCCCATAGCATGTCATACAAACTGCCACTGCCGCTGTAATGATAATATTTCCGACTTTGTTACAGAAAGCAGATGAACAAAAGATAATTTATTCAGGACAGCTTTTAGATGACAACAGTATATTGAAAGACGTGTTACGACATTATGACAGTCAGATAACGCACACTATGCACTTAGTTTGCTCAAGCAAAAGAATGCAAGAGCCCGATACAAAGACTGACGGTCTCCGTCAGAGAAACGTAACCGTGACAGACCCCCCCAGACCGCCAGAGACCCCCAGACCAGAAATGCGACAAAATGACCAAAATCACACAGTGGAAATGCAAAATTATTTCAGTTCCTTTGTAAATAATTACGGAAGGGTACCTCCATACCCGAATTATAGTTTCGGAGAGGGATATTTGCCAGTACAAAGTGACCCTGCCTCGATGGCCAATCATATGTTAATGATGCAGCAAGCCTATATGCAGTATATGCAACAGTACGCCAACATGTAAGTTTTTTTATACATATTTTAGAGATAAATTTGATTAAAATCATTTCGATCATATTTTCTGAATGTAAAATAGAAATCTAGTATAGATTCAAAGTTATGCAAAAAAATATACGTTTGTTTATAAATTCTATTAGTTTATAATTTCGTAGACACATAATTAATCGACTTCGAAAAAAAGAGGACGTTCCATGTTCGTCTGTATGTTTTTTTTTATTTGGTAACGGAAAAGTTAGATTTTAAGAGGCTATTAAAATATAGGGCATAGAAAATAACATATTTTAACTAAAAATTTTACTTTATTTTGAAGTCAGTGTAATCTTTTAGTTAGGAAGTAGGTTAGAAATATGTTGAGTCATATAATATTAACTACATTTTAATTAAATATGTATATAGCTTGTTAAATTTAAAAAATTACTCCAGGGCACAACCAGCAGTAGAAACCCCTCCTCCCCCCACGGAAACCCCACCACAACCGGAAAACCCGGAACCGGAACCAGATGAAATGGCCCGAGACTGGCTTGACCATCTCTATGCAGCATCCAGATTTGCAATACTGGTCTCGTTGTTTTGCTTGTACGGCAGTCCGGCGAGATTGCTGCTAGTCATATTGTTGGCTGCCGCTGGTTATTTGTGAGTATATTTGTGTTTATGACAACTTACTCCTCCACCTCAAGGTTGCCTGGAAGAGATCGCATACAGCGATAGGGCCATCTGCTTTGCATTTTTCTTTGTGTTCTTTTTTTATTTTTTTTATATTTCTTTCTTTGTTTACAATAAAGATTATAATTATATTTGTTTATGTAATTGATCTGCTATTGTTTTGAAAGTTTGTGTGTATGTGTGTGCGCGAATGTGTGTCTGTTTGTTGCTTCTTCAAGCTTAAACAGCTGAATATATTTGGATGAAATTTGATTTTCAATAGTTAAACGCCCGAGCAAAGCAGGGTAAGTCGCTAGTAATTAATAAATATAGTTCTTAAAACTAATAACAATAAAATAAAAACCGACTTCAAAAAAAAGCACTAAAAAGTAAAAAATAACTGATTGGTAGTTTTCATTTACTATACATACCTAATCAAATATTTTCGAAGTCGGTGTGCTTTGCTTTGTATGGGCTGTCACCGATTTCGAAAACATTTGATTAGGTTTGTATTTAATAGGTAGGCTTTAATTACTTAGCCAAAGCACACCGACTTCGAAAATATTTGATTAGGTATGTATAGTAAATGAAAACTACCAATCAGTTATTTTTTACTTTTTAGTGCTTTTTTTTGAAGTCGGTTTTTATTTTTTTGTTAAAAAGTTTTTATTTTTCCCTTTTTAGTGTAGACAGTAGTAGCAAAGTAAGGATTCTAATGTGTTAGGCTTGTCAAATCAAACAAAAATAAGCCCAAACTCAAAGTATCTACTATTAGCCGTTGAAGAGTTCCACCTATCCACCTTCTGGCCTTGCCATCAGATCAGGTCAACAACACCGAACCACTGTACTATCAACGGAAATAGAAATACTTGCAAAGTTTCAAGTCAATATGACAATTATAAGTAGGTTAAATTCATCATTAGTTGTTTTTCCACCCTTAGGGGTGGTATTTTTTTTTGAAATTTAAATGGGACCAATCTGGAAGTATACCCTTTCAAACAAAACAAAAATTGTCCAAATCGGTTAATAAATGACGGAGTTCTGAGGTAACAAACATAAAAAAAAACATACAGTCGAATTGAGAACCTCCTCCTTTTTGAAGTCGGTTGAAAATACACGTTTTTGGTCAACTATAATGTATGCGACTTGTCAAAACAAATTAAATGAACACAAACTCAAGTAACTAGTTAAGAGTTTATCTCTCTTGCTCTATCTTCAGAACAGCTTGATGGTATTGAATTATTGTATTGTCATCTGGATTTAACAATTTACGAACAGAACTTTTATCATTTTCTTTTACATAATATATTTATGTGTTAAGTTTAATGTATCACTTAAAATAACAAATAAATTTTACAATAAATAAATAAATACATTTTAATTATATTGACCATTCGTTACTTCTTTGCAGGCACCAAATCGGCTTCTTCCGTGATCTTCACGTTCATCCCGTTAACAACGAGAACCGTCGCGAGCAACAGAACGGCAACGAGCGGAATGAACGTAACGAAGGAAATGAACGTAACGAGCCACAAAATAACGAGAACCAAAACGGTAATAGACCAGCAGAACCGGAAAATAACGACAACCAACAATCGGTATTAGCCGTAACCTGGATGATATTCACATCTTTCTTCGCATCTCTAATACCTGATACTAATTAATTATTTATTATATATAATATCAGTGTGTAGATAAAGTTTTAATATAATCGTTGTGTAAATGTGTTAACGATTAATAACGAGATATGACGTTTAGAATTTAATGGATATTTAAGTCCTTGATATCTAAATTTTCCCGTTTTAATGTGGTTAAACCATCTATTCTTTCTAAAAAAAGACATTTATTAATTAAATTCTAATTGTTATAATTATTAGCTACAAAACAACGCTAGTTTTAAGATCGTACATCGTTTTAACTCGTTATTTTTTGGCATTACGTAATCTTTTTTTCACGTTATAGTGTTTTTGCAGTGGTTTTTTTAATTTAGGTCGTTAGTGCAAAAGTGGCCTAACTTATAAAATTTTAAACACATTTTTAAATTATTTACGAAAATGCATTAAATATATAAATATGATATGATAATTGGTTTTTTTACTTTAGAACACTTTTGTACTGAGCCTCAATTTTTAAGGCATATTTTAATAATATTTTTTTAATAATTTAATACCCAATGATTTTATTTAAAAAAAAAGAAGGATCAAAAAGTTCTAACAGTGCAGAGTGCTTTTTGTATTAGAATGTTGTGAGAAAATTGTTTAAAATCATAATATTAATTTACGGTCATGCAAACAAAAGAAACCGGTATAATGTGAGTCGGATTCGCACACAAGAGTTCCATACCATCGTACAAGATATAATACAATTTACTAATCGTATTTTTTTTAATTTACATGGCGGCCATTTTGAAATTCGCCATCCTGGTTTTTTAATATTTGTTTTAGATGCCACACTGAAAATTTCAACTCTCTACCTATTACAGTTCATGAGATACAGCCCTCTGACAGACTTATTAATATGGTATCTATAGCACCTGTCCGATATAGAACCGTAAAAATATACACTAAAAGAATAAGTCAAATGGGCATCCATAACAGTAAATTGAACCAAAAGAAATTGTCAAGAAAAAAAATATATGGAATATTATTTTCATTCATTTACTGATGTGATTTTAAATATTTAAACAATGCAAATTTTTTTGATAACTTTCTTTATTTCACGTTGAATTGAAAAATTTGTGGCTCAATTTTACCACCTCTGTAGGCAGAGCGGAGAGAATTAGTATTATAAAAAGCTAAAATAAAATACCATTTTAGACTTCGACTCCTGCTTGAAACTCTTAAAAATTAGCTCTATTTGAAATACTGTGTGTAACAACTATATAATTACCTTTGAGACGTCTAAAACTTTAGTCTCTCCCGTGACCATGATTGCTGTATAGCATTCGAAACGTCGGAAACCAAAAATCAAAATAAATCCGAAAAGATAGTTTTATTTAAAATGTCAGTTAATATTCAAGTAAATCTAAGAAATTATTATTTGTAATATTTAATAATCCCCTACAAATTTCATTGTGATATAGACTAAAAAATATCTCTTGGAAAATTTTGATCCTTCATATTTAATGTTATATTTAAATAGCACTTAAAAATAACTAAACCTATTTATTTTGTCCAGTTTGGTTTTTTAAATTATCCTTCCATAAAAGTTTCTATATTTTATTTTTGAACTGATGTTAAACCAAATATTAATGTAAATAGCTTTTGTAGCGATAAATAGATATGGTTAGGTTCCAACTATAGAATAAAACCAGTATAGAATAAGACCAGGAGAGCCCAAGAAGGGATTTTTGGAGTTACTCAAGCTTGGCAGGTTAACATAAGGGATGATGCCTTGCACTCTGTTGTGTACCTCCGCCATATATAAGCCCTTTGTATAGGGTCGCGTATCTAGGCACCCGATCAATTTATTTATTTATCTTTCGAGAAACAAACGGTGAAATAATCTATACTAATATTATAAAGAAGAAAGATTTGTTTGTTTGTTTGTACCGAATAGGCTTCGAAACTACTGAACCGATTTAGATGAAAGTTTGTATGGGGAAGTCCTTATAAACTTACTATTTAATAATACATTCATACACAAACGAAGTTTTCACGTATAAAATTAATATTTAAAAAATATTTTTAAAAGTTAGAAATACGTGATCGCGTCAGATTAATTAAGGTGTGGTGGGCTTTATGCTGAAAAGTGTGCTATTCAATAATTACAGATTCGCACAAGCCAAAGAAACAAAAATCGCCTATAAATCGTTTATGGACGAATGGATATGAATTGGGTGGAGTTTCATATATTTCTAACTTATAAAAAAAAATTCTATTTTGATCAGCTATCCTAGACGGACGGACGGCCCTATATACAGGGCTTATAATATATGGCCAGGTACTCAACAGAGTGCAAGATATCCCCCCTTATGTTAATATGCCGCGCTTGATCAAATCCCAAAATCCCCTCTTGGGCTCCCCTACTACAGTGTATCATTTATTTCTATAGAAGAAAGTATTCTAGAATATTCTAAATTCAATATGTTTATATCCATCTATACATTAAAGTTTTAAGCCAACGTTGAAAGATAAAGAGTTGTAGTACATTTTAATATCATAAATTGACACAACATGGCGCTGTTATATATAATATAAATACAAAATTAATTATATTTAAAAACTTCTAGATAACTCAACATTGGCTTGAATATTTACATACGTTTGTCAAAGCTTTACTTTTAAATGAATTGAGATAAGATAGCAATTATATTAGTTTCGTTTATAATAATTAATCTATACTAATATTATAAAGAGGGAGAGTGTGTTTGTTTAAATGTGCTAATCTCAAGAACTATACATATAACTTTAAATACAATACATATTATAAATATAAACACCCATGACTGGAGTACAAACATTCGTGCTCATCACACAAATGAATGCCCACAGCGGGACTCGAACCCGCGATCGCTAGCACAGTGAGTAGAGTCACTACAAACTGAGCCAAACGTGTCGTCAGAACAAATAGAACCTGAAGGATCTGTAACAGCCTTCATGGTTTATATATTTTCGATTCATACATTATTGAAAGCTTAGGAAAATTAACTATTCGATATTTAACTCGATTTAAACAAAATAATTATTAGTGCGTATCTAGTATTGATAAAATCGATACATCGCAATCGGATCCAAATCGTGTTTGAGGGTAGGCCAGTCGCCGGTCGCTCACAATGCTTCTAATCCCATTTGAAAAATTCTTTTTGTATTAGATAGTCCGTTTATTGAGTAAGGCTATTAGGCTATATATCATCATGCTACTACCCAAGAGAGCGAAGCAATAATGATAAATTTCCACAAATCCAACAAACTTCCATACATTATTGTAAAACTATATACATTATATGAATAACATAAAGCCAAAGGTTTTTGTAGTTTTAACGCGGGCGAAGCCGCGGGTTATGCTAAGTGATAAAGATATTTATTAGAATTTTAATTATACATCTAATCTATACATGTAATAAAATTGTAACTAAGCCGAATCTGTACATTAAATATTTTTTTGGAAAATCTTATTGAAATAAACATTATTATCGATACAGAGTCCGAATGTATAGTTTTTAGAATTTTTGTCTGTCTGTCTGTCTGTCTGTTACCGCATCACAGAAAAACCACTGGAGGGATTTTAATGAAATTTGGTATGGTGATAGCTGGTTATCCGGGTCGACATATAGGGTACTTTTTACCGCGGGAAAATATCTCATTTCTGAGAAAAACAAAAACTGTAATTTAAGAGTATACTAATATGTAAAACCTAAGAATTTGGTTTTTGGTCATCTGAACGCGGGCGGAGCCGCGGGCAATGCTAGTGATATATATTTTAATGCATGTATATTTGTTTTTTTTGTCGTGGAAATTTCTTAACCGTTATCCGACTGTGATGGACCTTTTTAGGGTTGTGTTTCTGATATATTATAAACAACGTAATATTATAAATGGTTTTAATTTAATTTAATAATAATATTTGTCACATTACACATTACTTGTGTACAATTTTCAATTACAATTAGGAGTAAATGTAACTGAATAATTGCTGTCTTATCGCAATTACAATAAAGCTTAAAATTCTTTAAATATTTCTTAATACTGCTGTAGAGGATTAAATTTAGATTTTGATCTAAATATTTCATAACAATATGTACAGAAGTCATCGTGTAAATATTTTTATTATTATTTTGCGTTTGAAAATTGCCATTTGCTAATGTTTTGTATAGGGATATAATTTGTTTAAAGATATTGTTAATATTTATTATTACATGTCTGCTTATTTGTCTGCTGCGCTCATTTTGATGCAGTTTTCGATGTCCCTTTAATATAGAATAGATCGATATATAAAGATATTACGTTAGTGTAAGTTTGTCAAGTTAATTTTTATGTCTTAAATATGAAGTTATTGGCTATATTTGATATTAAAGACTATTTAAAATTTTAAAATGCGAAATTATGGAGTCAATGTATTATAATTTATTATTAATTTAGCAACTTAAATTTTCTTTGTCATTCACAGAGGAAATTTTGTAAGCAATAGGGAAAATGCGTGTTTTTTTTCTTGGATTTTGTTTATACAATAGCTTCGTTATATAGTTGTAAAAAATATCCAGCTTCTAAAAACTAAAATTTAGTATAAAAAAATGTTCTCAAATTACAGATACGGATACTTTAGACGCCCTATTTTAAGATTATGACGGTATTCATACATTTTTATGTGAAAATTTATTAATAATATGAATTTGTTACAAAATCATATTTAGTAAAGTGAATTTAATACGCTGTTTGAAAAAACAAAATGGCGGAGGGTGGTTTGACTATTTGTGAAATAGTAAAAAAGCTTGCCTTTCTTGAAATCTTAATTTAATTTTTAAATATTTTCTTTCTATTGATATACCTATATATAAATTAAGTTATAACTTGGAATTATGGTTTTTAATTGGTGTTAGAGTGAAATTAATTCCGGTGATAATTGAGTGTATAGTAGCGATTTTTAAAATATTTTGTAATTCATATTATTTTTTTACAACTCACGAGTCCTGAGTCAAAAAAAAAATGATTACCAAATATAATGCTTACATATACTTGTTAATAACATTTTAAATTAAAATAATTATCTGTAATCATTGATATATAAAAACATAGATATATATATTTCCTAACAAATATATTTTCAAAAAGTGGCGTCGATATATGACGTTAAGTCAAACCAAAGAATAAAATTCAAAAATAGAAAGTTCCAATTGTCTAAACACAAATTCGAACTTACGCACACCACTTATAGTAGTTTTTTCAACGAAACAACGCCCGTTTTAATTTTGTCATCCGAAAAGCAATGAACAAGAGATTTGAAAAAGCGCAATTCAATTTCGAATCGTGCACTTCTTTTTGAGGACACTTTTGAGACTCTAATCGTGTATCTTGAGTTTTTGTATGTCAATGCCTGTAATATATAATTATAGTTGTATTAAATAAAGTTACATCTAAAATGGTCCTGTTACCTTATAAAATTCATAAAAACCAGTGATAACTAAACAAAATCATTATATACCGCTGCTCTTATTTAGGTGTAACTTTGCTGAATTGGTATTTTGTGATTTAGGAAATATTATTTAATGCCAGGTTCAAAGTTCATGCATTTGGTAAGACTAGGTTATTTATAATAGCGCATGTTGCATTAAATCATATACTACTGTGATAAGTTTCGTTTTCGTTTGCATTCTCGTAATAAATTCTTAAAATTAATTATTTGTTTTATTCTCTCTGTTTATAATTCAACCATAACATTAGTTGATGAGAAAAGTTGCGTACCTAGGACACATGCTAAAGCCGCGATAACTCTAATGGTCGATTTCACCAACTTCACCTAAGTTTAAGGGATCCCCTAAGCATGGTTAGGGGGCTGTTAGGGGACTGTTTCTGTTTCACCGACAGTTAGGGGTCACCTAAAAATAAAACAAATAATAAAATGCTACCTAAATATAGGTACTAGAAATACAGGCTCTGACGATGGTAAACGAAATTTAATTTAGGGGCAAGTTTAAGGGAATTTTTAAGCTAGGGACCTCATACGTAGGTGGTAGCTTAAGTGATATTGGTGAAATCGGGCATAAGTCTGGTTTGATCAAGGTTTATTTGGGTACCTTTTGATATGCTCAACGTCTGCTTTGACAAAAAGCTTTGAGACGAACTTCACTTTGATAAAATATGGCTTCACTCCACTTTGATTGAACGCCGACGTCAAACTTCAAAGTGCGCTTTGATTGCTCGTTTACACGATTAAAATAGTCATCAAAACTACTATAACTATTTGACGACACGTTTGGCTGTTTGTAATAGCCCTACTTTCTGTGCCGGCGGTCGCGGGTTCGAGTCCCGCTGAGGTCATTCATTTGTGTGACAACGAAGGTTTGTACTCCAGTCATGGATGTTTATATTTATAATATGTATATATTTAAAGTTATATATGTATGTGTAATGTATCAACTATCCGGTATCCATAACACAAGCCTCGTAGCTTACCATGGAACTAGATGGTGCTGTGTGTTCATGTCCCAACATATATAATATATATTTTTAATTAAATAGGAAAGAAAAAATGGTGAAAACATTGTCTAATTTGAATTTGATCGTGTCAACACGACTTTAAGGCGTGAACGTAACAAACTTCTTCACACTTACAATGGTCGCGGGTAAGAGAAGTGTTTGTAGAAGCAAGATGTCCGGGCTCTGCAACATCCGACAATGAAGGTTAAATAGGGTTGAAAATTTGTTCAGGCTATTAATAAAAGAATTTATGAGGAATGCCGAGCTTCAGTAATAGAAGCACTTGAAGGAGAAAAAGAAATGAATATATCGATTTACAATATGCGAGGAAGATTTCGCGAAACGTAAAAAAAAAAAATTAAATATTTTTTACCTTCTATTTCGAAGTCGGTAAAAATAATATTGAAAATTTAGTTTTTTGTCAGTTAGTAGATTTATGTTAACATTCAATTACTTATAACTGCGATTTCCAACTAAGTTTTTGTTACTTTTTCACACTAGGAATTGAAGTTGACCATACCACAGCACTGCTGTTTTTAAACGTTAAACGACATAAAATAAATTTAAGTCTAATAGTTATTAAATTACTTCATTTTTTTAATAAATACAGATATTAAACATGATGTTATATAAAATATATATAAATTATTCAGAAATCTTCACTGAAATCAACATCCATTAATTCAACATCTGTATTTTCTTTTTGAACTGATTCTAAATTATTTTTCTCTTCATTTTCATTATTTATATCATCATCCTTTACATTTGAACTTTCCTTAACAAGCATACTTTCTTTTGTTACTGTTGCATCTTCATCAAGTATAGCTTTATCTTTATCTATATTTGCATTATTTAATTCTATATTCTTTGTTTCATCATTATTATCTAACGCTGCGTCTTTTTTACAAGCATTTGACTGTTCTGTTTCATTATTTTGTAATATATCATTAGTTTTTTCTATATCATTATTCTGTATTTTATCATTATTTTCTTCAATATCAGTATTAGGTAATGTATCATTATTGTCTTCAACATAATTATTGTGTAATTTATCATTATTTTTTTCAACATCATTAATTTCTATACCACGATTTTGTTCAATATGTTGTGTGTTATCATTTCTATCATTAATATTTATTTCATGTTCCTCATCAGAACTTTCAAGTACATTCGACTTTTGCCTTTTATCTTCTATTTTATTATAATAATTGTCCGTTTTTACATTTTTCTCAATTTCTGTATCACTGTCTGTATCTATTCTTAAAGCACTGTTTGAGTTATTTCCATTATTTTTTGAATCATTACTTTCTTCATTATTCTTATGTACATCTACTGTAATAGATGTATTAACAGGAGCAACTTCATCGTCAGAGCTATCTATTACATTAGATTTATTAGGTCTTTTGTCTGGCATATTATTTTCAATATCCATTCCATTTTCATTAATTTCTTTGGAAATATTACTTGTTGTTACTTGATTGTCTTTATTTTGTGAGCTATTCATATTTGATAAATTTTTGAGACGAGCTAATCTTCTCTCTTCAGCTAGTTTCCTATTTCTAAGCATTCTCTCCTTTTGTTCATCGCTTATTGATGGTGAAGATGTAGCTTTTGGCATTACCATTGGTCTGCAAAAAATTTAAATAATTTAAATTAAGTGAAATTTAATGTTTTGCTTCTTTTTCATTATTAAATAAAAAATATATCAATTAAAATTGTTTGTACTAATTTAAATGAATAAATTTGCAGTGAATTATTTGAAAAGGTAAAATTATCTTAATTTATCTATCTAAATATATTTTATTTTAATTAGTTAATATATCTTATGCGAATATATTATCATTCAAACTTTACTTTACCCATTATCATTAATGGCACTATCCATATTTTTTCTAGCTGACCCAGGAGCTGGTGTGGATCGCGCTAACTCAATTTGTTGCTGCAAGAGTCTATCGAATTCATCTTCTGGTTCCTTCTCTTTTTCTTCTTCCTCTTCTTCATTGCTAGAATCCTTCTGCACTACTGTTTCTTCTGATATGTATTGGTCTGTTCTTATTTTATGTAGATGAACCTGTGTTAAAATATACATATATTTTTACATTTTTAATACTAATAATGTTTTTTATTAATGATTCATTGCTGTGATATGGCAATCTTATACTTTGTTTAAGTAACCCCTAATTATACATACAATTTAATCATATTCAATTTAATTATATCACTACTTAAAAAAAAAGCTGCAGGAAGGTCATGCCATTTTCTATAAAAAAAAATATTTAAAATTCATTGTGAACTAACCAAGAATATAAAACAAACTGTAATATCATTATCTACTTATTGTCCCTCAGTTATTATTTGTGATGTCCTCCTGGCCACTTTCAGCCATGTGGCCAATCTCAAATGTGAAATATGGGAGATTAAAGGAAATAAAAAATAAATACAAACCATGACAGGTCTTTTTTTACCCAAAATTTCTATTTTCTTTAAACAGTCCTCAAATTTAAACTTTGGATATAATCTATATGCCCAATGTTCTAGCTTTTTAAGTACCAAATCTAAATCTTCTTTCTCATGTCCTTTTCCTGAAATATTTTTATAATAGTTTAAAATATAGCATAGACAAAAAGGAATCACAAATATTTACAAAACCTAAAAGATGTACCTAATCACAAATTCATAGCTAAAATTGAAAACTGAATATAATTCAAAAAGAATCTAAGTAACTAGACAACATATTAATACTTCTGATAAATAGAACTGAAGATAAATACTGAACACAATAAAGCTACATATATTTTACACCTGAATAAGCAAACAAATAGTGAGTTAAAAGATGTTCTGTATTTATAATATTATGATTAAGTTCTTGCCTTTGAATTTAAAGTCTTTAAAATGTTCTGGGATAACTTGTATTCCTCTTGGTCCAGTCAGTCTGGCAGGATTTAAAATAAATCTTGGATTTTTAACCACACGATGCGTTTTAGTAGTATTAGGTTCTACCCTTCTTTTATCTTCCTCTGAAATAATATGAAAGTTTGGTAAGCGTTAACTTAATTCTAGCTACATTTTTTATATTAATATTTTTAACATTTTATTGTATAAAAATGGGGATTTTATAACCTGCTTCATCTTCTTTTTCACTATTATCATCACTATCTGAACGAGCTCTATCCTCATATTCATCACCTTCTATTACTCTTTCCAATTCCTGAGCTTCACCAGCTTCGTCTTGAAGAAACACATCTTCTAGTAGAGACATTTTGCAAAATATTAAATAGTTATGATCGAGAACAAATAAACTTTAAATATAATAATCTAAAATTCTAAAATCGGAATAAAACTTAATTCAATTGTAATTTGTAAAATCTGACATTTAATTTTGGCGGTAAATGCCTGTGTTTAGACCATAGAGTATATTGCTACATATATAAATAGAGGTACAACTCGTCGTCGAATCTGGTAATGCTTAAAAAGCGCCATCTCTAGACTTTAGTGTTTTCGTTTTGGAATATTATTAATCGGTAATGTCCACAGATCCCTTTAAATTATCTTATCTATCTCTTTGGCACAGGTTATGAAGATATAGTAATTAGTAGGTTAAATATTATTTATCTACGTTAATAAGAAAATAATGGAGGGTAGAGTAAGGAGAACTATCTTATATGGGAGACAAGTTAAAAAAGGGTCCATTTGGAAGCAGTAAATAACAGTTCAAAAGCCCACTAGAATGGCGCTAGCGTAGCAAGAGGGTATGACATGAATTAGCAGTTGTAAACGGAGTGAAGTGTGCTGAGTCGAAAAATCTAATATTTTGGGTGACTTGAGTAGTTATTGAAACTATTTCCATAGTCCAAAAAAAATTGTTTGAACTATGAATAAAATTTTATAATAAAAAAACTAAAACTAGTTTTTTCACATGCAATAGTGGCGCAACCTGAATTTTATGCATTTCGACGAACTCTTTTACATCACAGATATAGTTCTCCTTACCTCTACCCTCCTCATAGAATATTTATATTTAATGAAGACGTTAAATAAGTTTTAAAGTTTAATACTTACATATAAGACATATCATAAACATAATTGTTAGTTATAAATACTGTTACTTTTGCTATAATATTTATCGAACATAAATATTATTAAGAAAATATTATCGTATAGTTTTATAAGACATGTTTATCTAAAAAATATACATTATATATGAAATCGATGTTTCTCTATAATTCTACTAAATTCTAGAAAAGATTATATATTTTTTATACGACGTTTGCAAGTTACATGTTTTTAATGTCGATTAATATACCTACATTGAAGAAAATGTCTCAAAAATAATTTATTTAAATTATCAGTAATAATCGTAACATTACGCGTGAAAAAGTTGGCAATACGACTGGCCATTCTTTGAATCGTAATCTTTCACATGGCTCGTCCCTAGCGAGTCACGTGACCAGCTTGCGTTTGAGAGCGCATTCACAGGTATGGAAATTCGTAATTTTATTAGTAATCGTGTTGAATTACGGATTAAATCTTAGCTTTAAGGTAAATTCTTAGATTTAGCATACGAAATGTGTTGATGAGTGCAAAATTAAGGTGGAAAATGGTGTCGTGTACGGTTATTTCGTTAACAAAGACTGTCATTTTGATACCAAGAAAGGTGCTTCAGGAATGGCGTCCCCCACATGTGCCGCCTATTGAATTTCGCCTCCGTTAGCTGTTTTAGAAATTAATGACGTGAGCTCGTATACGTGTGATTGTGCGTTTGCACTAATCCCGCCTGTGTTCGATAGAAAATCCTCACACTACAAAATTTCAAATTGGTATCGCCCTTGCTACTTACAATGAATCATTGTCCTGATTTCTACGAGAAGTAATGCAAGATTTTATAATATACACGCACTTTGAAGTGCTTCATACATATAACTAAGGTTTAATAATCATTTTGTTAGGCACTGAAGGTTAATTATACTATTATCCGCCCAATTGTTTTGTTTACTTATTTTCAGATTACCGCTTTTGCTATGATTGGCGGTTCCTTCCGTTATATGCGATTTTCCAATGAACACGATTGTTATCATATACTTTATAGTACTTGATATGTTAAGTACTAAAATAACATCATTTTTTGTTTTACAATCACCTACAAGAATTGAAATAATCAAAACAAAATGAAGTTATCCATTCCAATCTTCCAATAAGTAATGATTCTTTAGTGCTTTTAATTTCAAAATATAGTTAAAATAAATTTATATAACTCCATATTTTTATACAGTATAAAATCTATTAAAATATAGGTACTTTTATTATAAAATAATAAGAAACTTGTCTGATTTATATAGGTAAATGAAACTTATTTTAAAGTAAGGTTATACTCAAATTCTTGTTTACTTTGTCAACTTTTGTAGAATTAATTTATTTCAACTATTTTTTTTATGATTCTTAACTTGCACTAGATATTAATTTGAATTTTCTTAACTATAATTAATATATAAATATAATTTAAAAATGCTTTAAATTTTGCTGATGATGCTATATCTATTTACTCAGTTGGCAATATTAATTCTAATAATATATTCAAAATTGGATGTATTACACTATAGTCATAATTTTAACAAAATATGCAGTCGCTTATAATTTTCCTTATATTCTCATAAGTCCTCAATATAGAAAATTCTTTTCAATTTCAGGAATATGTTTGATGATTTGCATTTTAAATATAATTGAAAAGTTTGTTGAACAAAATTTATTTGTATTCCAAAAAAAAAATAAGATTTTTGAGTGATTCATGATCATTACTTATCATGTCTGTGATTTTTTTAAGATATTTGTTCATTATTAGTTTATCTGCCTATCTTTCTATATTATGATATTATTTATATATATATAAAATCTGTCAAATTGAACATTTATCTGATATTTTTTTAAATGTATCATCTTATAAGTACTGATTGATTACACTTATGCCATTATTATGAATTTAAGAATGATTTCAGAAAAAAATTAAAATATATGATTGGTAAATCAAACAAATGAGATGTCTCTGACATTTTATATTATTATATTGGTATTCTGAAGTTATTAGATATTTTTGATATAAAATAGATGGGGCATTCCATACCAAATCAGAGGGTTTCAAAGTTTTTATTTTTGATTTTCTTAATATTTTGGTAATTTTTATTACCCCTCAAAAGACTTCCTAATAAATTTTGAGTTTTTTTGATCACTGGTTCAAAACCGCTCTTTTGGTTTTTTGCTCATAACTTTCTTAATAATGGTTCAAATTCAACTTATTTATTTAAAATTTTTGTTTTTGGATGGCCTTTACAAAATAAATTATAATTAAAATGTTTTTAATCAAGATTTTTGAATTTTAAGTTTTAAAATAGTGTATCCTTCAATTTTTTGAAAATTTTCTATTTTAGACATCTATTCATCATGGAACTTTAAAGCCTGGTCCAGTAGTGTGCCTTCTACAATTACAATTTTTTTTTAGAATTTTAAAATGAAAAATTCATTCTTGGCTTTGATGAAAAATCAAAATAAATTCGCGAAAAACCCGAAAAGATAGTTTTATTTAAACTGAAATTATTTTTAAAAGCTTAGCTTTTGATTTGATTACTTCTAATTCTGATTTTAATACATCTGTGAAAGAATTTCACTTAAATTTATGGGATGCATTTTTCTTTGTCTTACAAAATAAACCAGTTACTTAGAGAAAAGTTCAGATAGTTTTATTCTTTTAATATTTTCAGGTAATCCAGCTGTCTCTTTCCAAATATTTGAAACAAACATTTTGAAAAAAAAAATATTTGACTAAGCATCTTAGACTAAAATAAAAAAAAAGTTTTAACCATATAAAAAAAGGTTTGTTTTTTTTTCAGCTGCTTGTAAATAGAGGCTGTAAATATAGCAGATAAAGATGAGTTTGGGTGCGCGCGCCACCAAGGGTGGTGCGAAGAAGGAGAAGCAGGACAAGGGCAAGGCCGCCGAGAAGCCCGCTCCTAAGGAAAAGACAAAACCACAGGTATGTATTGTTGTCAATACAGTTAGCAACTTTTTACTTTTTTTTTTTTTATTAGCTGCAACAATAAAGGTTGGTCTATCCAAATTTCATTTTACTCTGTGGTCTTTAAGTCTAGTTCTTTAAGTTCTACAAAATTCATATAGCATAAAGCAATTTTAGTTTTTCTAGAATTTTCCAATTTTACAGGCAACTGTATTGGTATTTCTTTAAAAATAAAGCATGGAAAGTTTTGAACATTTTAATTAAAATGAACATTAGGCGAGTCGGTCCAGTAGTTTTCGAGTGAACTTAATAACAAACACTTTCATTTTTACTTTTTTTTTAAAGGTTTTTATTTTTTCCTTGGATTTTTTTGTGTTTAACATGTGTTTCATAGTAATTGTAGTCATTGGTTTTAGAAAACAGAGTTTAAACACTGAGCTTCGCAACTCGAAATTTTTAATGGAAAAAACTCATTTGAAAGAAAACATTGTTTGGAAACTTGCAACTCTAAAAAAACTTTACTAATTTTCTAAATAAATATGAAGTCTGGAAATCCACATATGACCAATGTGTCGTACACCACTAATCCTCGCATTAAAGGGGACTCCCCGTGTCTGACAGTAGATTGTTAAAAAGTCTGAATTATCATATTACTAGTAACCTAACCTTGCTTCGCCATAGGTAAACGAAAACTACGTAGGTCACTTTGAAGCCGTCCGAGGCTTTAACTTGAGAAATTATAGTTTCCCAAATTTAATCTTTTATTTCACCCTCTTTAATTTTTATTTTCCTATATTCTTTTCCAATGTCCAGTCTATATCTATACCAACTTCATCAAAATAGGTTTAGTGGTTTTGACTTGAAACCTTTATATTTAAAATATTAAATAGCACAAATTTAATTTGTTTATATGTTGTTATTGTTGTCTCAGGCTACCACAGAACAACTTCGTATGGCAAACATGATCGACTGCAAAAGCGAAGATCCGTCTGACGTGCGAAGAATGGTATGTAATTATTAAATATCCAATAATTGTATTAACTTATTGTTTTTGTTGTAAAAGTATTCGTTTATCTTCATGGGAAAGTACAGACAATGCGGGTCATTGACCTTTCACATAGCATCTTTGTTATGATAGTGTAAGTGGGTAATTACTATTTATAGTGTTATTAGTTTGCGAAATTTTATTTTGTTACTAGCATTGCCCGCGGCTCCGCCCGCGTTCGATGACCAAAAACCAAATTCTTAGGTTTTACATATTAGTATACTCTTACAATGCAGTTTTTGTATATATATTTTTTCAGAAATGAGATATTTTCCCGCGGTAAAAAGTATCCTATATGTTGACCCGGATAACCAGCTATCATACCAAATTTCATCAAAATCTGTCCAGTGGTTTTCTAATGATGCAGTAACAGATAGACAGACAGACAAGAATTCTAAAAACTATAGATTCGGACTCTGTATCGATAATAATGTCTATTTCAATTAGATTTTCCAAAAAATATTTAATGTACAGATTCGACTTGGTTACAATTTTATTATAGATATGGATTTTCTTAGAGAAATTCAAGTATTATAGTGGTTTGTTTATAATGCACTTTTACTTGTTAGGAGAGAGTTAAAAGTTAAAAGTTGAAGGCCAGGAATTCATTTATTTCGCGAAGATCCTGTTAATTTTAAATATCATAATATTAGATTTTTTTAATATTTAAAAAAATGTATATATTTTAATGATTAAAATAATTTCAAAACACATAAAATTAAGTTATAAAGATGAAAATTCAAAAAATATAAGTTCAAGATATACCTAAAAAGAATGATAGAATTGAATAAATATTATTCATCTTAATTTTTTACATAGTTTTATAATTAAATAATTGGTAATAAAAGACAAATTAATTAGTAATTAAAAACGAAAAAGATTTTGCTTTTTTATATCCAGAGTTATCTATTATTGTTGTTTTTTTTTATTAATAAAATTTTTTATTTAATTTAATAAATATATTGCGATAACTTTTATCTGACACTTAGTTTTTGGTTTATGGTATGGTGAGTGGCAGTTTATTGCACTAATGTGACACAATAGTTTTTAGGGGTGAACAGTAACAATAGTTTTTAGGTTTCGGGGGTACGAATGGTTTCCGTCCGCCCGTCAGAGGGCTGTATCTCATGAGCTGTAATAGGTAGACTGTTGAAATTTTCACAGACAGTGGTTTTTTTTTGCCACTATAACAAGAAATAATAAAAAAATACAAGAAACATTTTTTTTTCGTTCTATTCGATTCGATTGCCGAAGTTAATATATGTACTACTTTAATAGAGTACTAGCGACTCACCCTCGCTTCGCTCGGGTTCGTCCCTAGCTCGCTTCCCAATACAAACTTTTATCCCCATTTTCACCCCCTTAAGGGATGATTTCCGGGATAAAAAGTATCCTATGTCCTTCCTAGGGTCTCAAACTATCTTCTTACCAAATTTCATCTAAATCGGTTTAGTAGAATCAGAGGTTACCCCCTACAACGTCACAAACTCACAAACTTTACCTCTTTATAATATTAGTATAGAAAAGTCATATTAATAAAAAGTATCTGAGAAAAGTATCGGAATTGGCCGAAATTCGGTTTGAATACCGGACATTCGGCAATAGAAAATAAATAACTACTTGCACTATTTTGACTGAAATAATTAAAAAGCATGTCTGTCATAGCAATCAAATAAAATTAAGTCTTTTATATACTCATATGGAATACGGGTTGGGAACAAAAATATTAAAACCTGAAGTTTAACTTCTTTAAAACGTTTTCCTTTATAAGGAACAAAAATCCGTAAAATGACCCCCACGTCCAGCACCCCCGAGAAGTGGGGGGATGAAAAGCTTTGAAAAATATTTTTTTTCAATTTACTTTTATATATGACACTTTTTGCAATTAAAACTCGAAAGTTTTCGAGATATTTGCAAAAAAAAAATATTTTTAATTTTATCTAGGTTTTTAATTTTTAATTTCTGCATTTTTTTTTAATATTCATGAAACTAGGGGAATGTTATCTTCGAAATACTTAATCCAAATTTTTTTGAAATTGAAATATTAACTGTTTCCAAGAAATTTATGTTTTATGGTCTTGGGAGGCTAAAATCACCCCCAATTTCAAGTGATGAGTTGATGAATTTGCTAGTACAGATTTTGATGAAATTTCGTATGATGATAGCTGGTCATCTGAGTCAAAATATAGATCACTTTTTACTGCGGGAAAATATCTTATGTCTGTTACTAATGGGTAAAACGGAATTAGGGGCGAACCCGAGCGCAACGAGAGTGAGAGAGTGAGTCGCTAGTTCTTCATATATTAGTATAGATATATGTTATTTATTACTTACGTTTGTATTAAAGGTAGTCGAGCTAATGGACATGACCCGGCGTACCGAAGAGGAGGTTTGCTCAGCGCTACACGACACCAACAACGACATGCAGTCCGCCTGCAATCTGCTGTTTGAAGAAAGCCAGCGGATACAGGTTAATTCATGTTTCTAATTAATATAATCTTTTCTAGTATTTATTACTGGCAACTCTAGATTTCTTTTACATTTATAATATTACTATAAACCAGCAGAACCCGCGGCATCGCCCGTGTTCAAAGTACTAAAAAACAAACTCTTCTTTCCCTCCCCGTAACAATAATGTATGGAAGTCTGTCCGATTTGTTGATATTTATAATTACTGCTCCGCTCCCTTGGGTAGTGGCACGATGATATTATAGTCTGTAGCCTTTCTCAATAAACGGGCTATCTAATGGAAAAAGAATTTTTGGAATCGGATTTCTAGTTGAGATTAGCACGTTCAAACAAACAAACATACAAAAAAAGAAACTCTGCTTTATAATATTAGTAGAGATTGGTTTCAACTACTATTACAAATGTTCCAGGGCGAATGGCAAACCACAGAGAAGAAGAAGAAAAAGCCGCCGCAGCCCACCGGCAACGGGGACGTGGAGCCGCCTCGAGACGCCCCCCGTAGCCGCTCTGGACCACGCACACGTATGTATTCCCTTTTATTTACATGTGCATGTTACATTTATACACTATATTGATATGTTAGTTATAATGTCTTTTAAAATTTTCTTACATCTTTAAGGAAACTCATTTCATTGTAATATTGTTATTTTTTTGATTGCAAGTCTCTGAAATTGTTTCGTTATATATAGCAATCATTTAGCAATTAACGATATCTATTCTAGCCAAACATAAATATTTCTTAGAATAGTTCGAATGTGCGCTGTCTATTTTTATTGTGACATGAGGATCTGTAATATATATCTATAGTATTGTATGTATGTATTTATGTATATATTCAGCTTTTTTTAACGTCCCACTGCTGGGCATGGGCCTCCCTTCAATACGAGGCGGATCAGGCCATAGTCCACCACGCTGGCCGAGTGCGGGCGGACTGAGCATGTCTTTTGAAAACTTGCTAGGTTCTCTCAGACATGCAGGTTTCCTTATGATGTTTTCCTCCACCGTAAGGCAAATAGTAATCATGTTAGAAATCTATAGTATTACTATAATACTATTATGTTATCTGTGGTTTACTAAACATATTACATAATTCGTTGCCATCTAATGACACATAGAACCTTGTAATAGTGAGCCAACGAATTATTTTGCTATGTAAGTTAAACGATAAAAAAATATGCAAGTCTAAAAGAAAATACATATATATATATATATATATATATATATATATATCTTTATATATATGGGAATGGTTTAGATTCACAATTTGAATAATAATTTTCATCAAAAAAATTATTAAAAAAAGTTTGAAATTTTTAAATTACAGACGTGTAGACAGGACAACGTCTGTCGGGTCCGCTAGTATATATATAAAACATGTATGTTATAATTGTGTGTTCTCTCGTGTCTCGGTCGCAGGTCGCGGCGAGGCGGATGCGGGCGCGGCGCGCGGGCGTGGCGCGGGGCGCGGGCGCGGCGGAGCGCGCGGTGGACGCGGCGCGGGGCGCGGTGCGCGGCGCGGCGGCTCGGGCCGCGCGCACGCGCCGCGCTCCGACGCCGACTGGCCGCACGCGCCGGACACCGGTGATTATATATCAAGTATGGGCTGTGATGATATTTACATGTGTGTGTGCTTGTATGTGTGTTATGATAAATGTATGTGGAATATTTCTTTTCCTCTTTCCAAAGCTCTGAAGAAAGCTTTTGAAAACACTATAAGTCGACTTCGGCCCTTCTCCCGTTACGTAACACGTAGGATACAACACTTAAATCGCATACTAGCTGAATGCTTGTTGGCAACTCGACGTTCGCACATTACGCTACTGAAAAATAAAATGCATCATTTATTTTGTGTTTTTTTTTAATGAACGGACGAATTTTTTCGAGATGCGTTAGTAGGAGACGCGACATGGACGCGGATGCGTAGGATACCGGTAGCGTAGTGTGCGAGCACCCACACAAATGTGTGTGCGACACTCCGCGGCGATTAGTCTCCGGGACTTGCAAAGATATTAGAGTTGCTTGCGCGTATCGTAACGGGAGAACAGCCTTAATTTCAAATATAAATACTAGCGTTTGCTTGATGCAATTTCCATGTTTGCTACCATTCAAATGCTACTATAATTTGATATTATTTCCTATGAATTACTATATGTAGTTGTTATTTTTACCCAGAAAAATTAATTTCCATTTTAGTCAATGTAAATTTTATAAATTAGATTTTTACACATCCTATCCCTCTTTTACTGGTTTAGGTTTTGAATATCCTAAAATCTTTTCTCACTGGTACCAAATTTCAAGATACCGTCTATACTTTATAAATTGAGTGATTAATCACTGTCTGTTTGTTCTGGCTAATATCTGAAACGGCTGGACCAATTTCGATGGGACTTATGACAAAGGCAGATTACCGATGTTATGAAGAGTAACTGAGCGACTTTTCTTTTAGAAAAAGAATTTTGTGAGTTCTGCTCAAAAAAAAACCTATGAGATTGTGAACACAATCGGCATACGGGGACGCACCCGAGCGAAGCGATTGTAATTCGCTAGTAACAAAATGCCTTGTGAATAAAATTTGATTTCTGTAACTTATTGATGTTTTTAATATTACTATTATTTATTATTATTAAACCTCATAATCAATAAATGCATTATTGCTTATGAAATGGAAAAATTTATAACCGAAAATTATATTTCTTTTTATGAAAAACATACATAAATAAATAGAAATATATTTAACAGGTGGAAACATTGACTCATTTCCAGCAACAGAAGACTGGGACAATGAGGAGTGGTCCGGCTCACTTTCAGACACCAAGGTACTGTACTTTCCATTAAATAATAGTCTCATTTGAATTACATATTTACCTCATATTATACAAATATTTGATTAATATTTTAAATTAATCAATTTTTTTTAATTAAAATATTGAAAATGAACTTAATATAAAAAAATATATTAATAATTACATCTTTGTACTAATATAGTCATTATTAGCCCAAATTGTTTTATTAACAAATATGCATATATCTTGAAATATAAAAAAAAATATTATTATTTATACATGCTAGCATAGAATAGAATTTCTTATTGGTTATTCAAGACGCTGTCTATATATAAATGTGGAAAAATCACCTTTTTTTTAATTTTTCTGATGGTACTAACCAAATATTGAAAACTTATGTGCTTAGAAATAAATTTTAGGTATTACATAATGTAAAACTTTACTGGTGATTGAATTTTCAGCCATTTTTACTCCCAATATCTTTTTTTATATTTTTTTACACTATTTTAGCCGAAATGCAAAAAAATGTTCTTAAGTAAGATCTTGTAAATAACACAACTAAACAAACAAACTGACAATACAATTATACAATACAAGTAATAGATATGCCAAAAGGAAATAATTATAAGATGTATAACTAACATGTTCAGGTATTCACGCCGAGCGTCAACGCGCAGAGCGCGGCGGCCGAGCCCGACCCCGCGCAGGCGAATGCTACGGTATATATATACATTTTGTATTGTTAAACTTATTTATTAATTAATAGTTTTCCCATAAGTTTCATTATGTATTGTATTCAGCCCTTTGTTAACGTCCCACTGCTGGGGGTGGGCCTCCCTTCAATATGAGGGGGGATCAGGACATAATACACCACGCTGGGCAAATGCGGGTTGTTAGATATGCAGGTTTTCTCACGATGTTTTCCTTTAACGTAAGACAAGTGGTGTGTTGGACATGATTCGCATATAAAATAACAGGTATAAGACCCGGGATTTGAACCCGCTTCACACTGTTTCTCGAGCGAGATTTTTTTCAAATATCATCGCCAAATAAATTGTCATTTTTACAAACCTTGCATTTATGGCGGCATTTTCCTTAAAGTCAGAGCCTACCTACTGTATAGATTTTTTATACCATACTAATATTCTGATTTGAAAAGAATAACTAAAATTAAAAAGTACATCCTTTTGAATTCAAAAAGTAAAAAGTAAACAAAATGGAGTAAATGGTAAATGTTTCTCCCACAGGAGGACTGGGAGTGCGGGAACGAGGCGAACGGCCCCCGAGAGCCGCACATACCGACATACACATACCACAACACGCAACAGCATATACCGGTAAATTATATATATTTACATATATATATGTAGAATCTCATAATTAGTAGTGTGTTTAATATTTGTTTGTATGGGGCATTTTTAATGTGAAACCTGAGTTAACATGCTTAGCTCGGCACTTTTTTTTGTAAAATCGTGGTTTTTTTATTCGAAAAAGTTGCGTTTTTTTTTAATATTTAATATGCAAAACCGTTTCTAATATAGGAAATTATAATATAGTAAAAGTTTGATGTATGAAACCTATAATTTAATATATTCTTAAGGAAAATTTGTAGTCTTATTAAAAAAAAAAATTTTTTAGCAAATGGCTGGTGCGGCAAACGCTGTACCACCTGCAAAGAGTGAACCTGAACAATACCATCAGCCACATCATCAGGTAATTTATATCACACTAATATTTTAAATGAAAGGATTTGTCAGTTTGTACTTCATCATGCTGTGATCGGTTAACAGATTAAAGTGAAATCTGAAGATGATGATGATTTTATAGCAAAATAGGCTCATACACTTGAAACGTAATTTTTTCACCTTTTGAAGTGTAATTATTGTTCGTAATGTTTATTTCTACATTTCAATAAAGCCAGTGGTAATCACGAGATAGCTATATATTTAATAGTATTTATTGTTTGTCGTTGGTTTCCAGCCGATGGGTATGTCGGGCAGCCTGAGCGCGGCGCAGTCGCAGTACCTGTCGCAGCTCACGCAGCAGGCGCAGCGGCATGACAACAGTATGTATCGGACTTTATACTATACTAGCATTGCCCGCGGCTCCGCCCGCGTTCAGATGTCTAAAAACCTAATTCTTAGGTTTTACATATTAGTATACTCTTAAATTGCAGTTTTTGTTTTTAGTCTCAGAAATGAGATATTTTCCCGCGGTAAAAAGTATCCTATATGTTGACCTGGATAACCAGCTATCATAATACCAAATTTCATCTAAATCCCTCCAGTGGGTTTTCCGTGATGCGGTAACAGACAGACAGACAGACAAAAATTCTGAAAACCTATATCAAAATCTATAGATTCAGCCTCTATCGATAATAATGTCTATTTCAATAAGAATTTCCAAAAAATATTTAATGTACAGATATGGCTTCGTTACTATTTTATTATATATACATATATATATATATATATATATATATATATATATATATATTGTATGTCTGTATGTTTGTTACTCTTCTGCGACGTGACGGATTTAGATGTGGGCTGGAAAACCTGGTTTTAAGACTAGAGTTAAAACTAATAAAATGCTTTCCTAATAATAATAATAATCACAATTAACCATGGTATAAACCCTTTAAATGGTAACCAAAACCAGGGACTCGGTTAAAATATAAAAAAAAAAATGTTGTTATGTGTTTACAACAAGTTAGTATATCAATCTGTGCTATAGTTTGTTGTTTGTGTTGTGATATTTTTATTCATTCAATAAGTTTCGTAAAATTACTACATAAAAATACCTCTTAAATTATGTTTTTCGTAGGAACCATTTAATAGTTATTACATATATGTATACATATACCATATTTATTTTATTATATGATGATAAAAGTCTCGTCATTTCAAAATAACAGTATGACTTCATAGTGATAGATACATTTTATTTTAAATAAAACGTCAATGTATAATTTTTATATTTTTCAGGTGTATACACGAGTAATTACGGTGTGTACGGCACTTCGGATATTTCTACGCAACGAAAGACGCAGCGGGTTCGAGTGCCACCGCCTTCTAAGGTAAATTTTGTGCTATATATGTATTGGTTTTCAATATATAAAAAGAGCATTTCATTGCGATATATAAAAAAGATTAGAAAATAAGAATTAATTAAAAATGAATATTATTACTTTTCGTTTACATATTATATTTATATGAAGCTATTATTTGAATGTAATAAAAATTAGCTTAGTTGTTTTGTGATTTTTGACGTAGTGCGGTCTTTAAGTGACGCATGAGTTATAGGGATAATTTTAAATTATTAATCGATTTTGTAACAGAAGGTATTCAATTCGATTTTTTTTATTAAAAAAAAATGAAATTAGTTGTATGTTGGTAATAATTATCAATTTTAAACTTAACGGAATGTTCTTTGTATTAATGGCTTGTCGCAGGATCGTTAAGGCATTCAACTTTTGCTTTTATAATTGGGTAATGCATTAAAAACATCATAATATTATCCACTAAAATGTTAGATAGATTGTCGGGTGTTAAAAACGCCCCACTATAAAATCATGAAACTTGTCGATTATCAAAGATGATGTATATTGTATAGTATTCTGAGATTTACGCGAATACTTGACATTTTAAAATAAAATTATGTTTTCGGATACATTTATATTTTTGGTTCCTGACATTTCGAATGCTTTACAAGTTTACAACATTCATGGTTACAGAGGAGACTGAGGTTAGTGTTGGTATTATTATATTTATGTATTAGGAATGCGCCGAATATATCTAATACGAATTCGGCGCATGTCTAATATGTATAAACGTGTCGCCGGCCAGATCCCGTCGTCGGCGGTGGAGATGCCGGGCGGCGCGGAGGGCGGCGCCGGCTTCCTGGACGTGCAGTTCGGCGCGCTGGAGGCCGACGCGCTGCACGAGCACGCCGCCAGCCCGCACCCGCCCGCCGCGCCCGACGCGCCCGCCAAGGTAACCCGCACCCGTCTCTGGAGAAATCTACATATGTCTCACATATATAGGGATAATAAAACAAATGCACAGTAATAAGAAAAAAGACATTACTGAATGAAATTGTTAATTTAAAACATCAATTCACGTACATTGGAGTAGGTAATTAGAAAATCAGCCAAATATATGATTTGTTTTTTTTTAATACATAAAGAAGTCCAAAACGCGCAATCAAGTGCTAAAATGCCTGGCAAACCAGACGAAAGCCTAGCATAATATGGTAACCCCACACACGTTGCCATAGTGACACGTCAACAAACCTATACATATTATAAAATTCTGTGTCATATCCGTACATTAAATATTTTTTTGGAAAATCTTATTGAAATAGTCATTATTATCGATACAGAGGCCGAATCTATAGTTTTTAGAATTTTTGTCTGTTTGTCTGTCTGTGACGGCATCACGGAAAAATCAGTGGAGAGATTTTGATGGAATTTGGTATGATAATAGCTGGGCAATCGGGGTCAACAAATAGGTTACTTTTTACTGCGGGAAAATATCTCATCTCTGAGAAATCTGTATTAAACTTTAAATCGTAACTAAATATGATCATATTTAGTGCGCATCGTACATGTTCAGCTTTTTAATTCAATATTGTTTGTTATACAAATGACAAATAGTACAATATAAAAACGTTGCATACGTTTTTATATTGTATTCTCAGAAACGTTGTGTTAAAACTTTTTATATAGCAAGTAGACTTCGTTTATAATAAAATTACTCGTATCATTATCCCCTAAATTGGACGTTGTTATGTAGAACAGATCCAACCACAAAAAGTTACTTTTGACAAAATAGGAGTTTTAGTAAAATTCATATAACATAATAACAAGACTAGTTTTTTTTTTATTCCTCTTAAATATTGGATATTTTATCGACTTTCTGTATATAAGTTGACATGTAGTTTCCGTTTATAATAGTAACTCAAAAATCGGTTTTCATGGGCTGGATCCATTTTGCATAAGTACGTCCAATTATGGAAACATGTACATGCGGTACAGTCAAATTAAATCATTTTCAAATATTTTACCGATGTTCACGTAATAATGTATAAATAATATATTTGTTAGCAAGTGACGTCACAAGCGGAGCCGGCACCTGTCTCAACAAGCCACGAGACAACGACTGAAGCACCTAGTAGCTACCCTAATGCCAATAGTATGGTGAGTTATATATATAAAAATAACGATATATTAATATATGTATTTATAGTTACATAAAATAATTAGATTAAAAAAAAATAAAAACTTGCATGTTTGTTGTCTCAAATGGGACTCATCAAATTGAATCTTTCCATCTAACCCAAAGGTATTTGGTTGTAACTCACAAATCACTATATACTACAATGATTAAAATAAAATTTTATGTTAAGGTAATATAGCGTCATGGTAAGGCTATCTAACTTTACAAAATTTTAACAAAAAAATAATATTATATTTTTATATAATCTTTATTTATCCAAAAATAAACAAATACGTTATTATTATTTATTGTTAATGAATATATATCTTGTTGACAGTTAAGTGAGAGCTTGTCAGTAGTAGACACGACGGCGACGAGTCAGCCCGTTACATCAGAATCTGCAGTCACAAATAGTTCATGTAAGTTTGCTAACATTATGTTTTATATTACAATATTTCATACTAACGACGGAAAACAAAAACAAACCTATCCCACGGGAAGCGTATATTTTTCCGGTATAAAAAGTAGTCTTATGTGTTATTCAAAACTATAATCTATCTCTGTGCCAAATTTTATCCAGATCTCTTCAGCTGTTCTGGCGTGAAAGAGTAAGAAACATACATCCATACAGACATTCTTACAAACTTTCGCGCTTATAATATTAGTAGAATAATACAGATTACTTATCATTTTGGGGTTCTTGTGTTTAGATAACTATACTGAACAATCAGTGAACTTTATGCAATTAAATTAAATGATAATTTTACAGCATCGATCGAAAAAGTAAAGGCAAAATAAAAATTTGCATGAAATACTAAAATTTACATGCATATATATTCTCCTATTACATAAGTTTAGAAACATATTTCAAAATGGCCAAGTACTTGTGTAAAAGTTTACTTGAGTAAAATATTGTTCGTTTTTGTGTAAATAGACTGGAAGGCCCTACCTCGAGTTCTTATTAATTTTTTTATTAATATTACACAAACACGAATAACAAGTCGATACATATGGCGCCATCTTTTGATATTTATTTGTTTTTTTTTTACAGCATTAGACAAGTTATCAGCGTCAATGAAGCAGCTAGGCGTGTCGGGAGTGACGGGCGTGTCGGCGGTGTCGGGTGTGACGGGTGTGTCGGGAGTGTCGGGCGTGTCGGGAGTGTCGAGTGTGTCGGGAGTGTCGAGCGCAGCGGACGCGCCGCCTCAGCCGCACCACCACTACACGCATCATAGGCCGAAGGTTAACATCTCTATTATATTATGTATTAACTGCCTCGGTGTAGTGGATAGCATGTACGGCTGTTGCGGAAGTTCTGGGTTCGAGTCCCGGGTTGTGCAAAGTTTAATTACTGAGTTTTTCTGTTAAGATATTCTTAATAATTGTGCAGAGTTTTGAAGTTGCGGTGATTCGCACCCGTGTCTCAGAGAGCAAGTGTCAAGTCGGTCCTGCGCCGCCTTAACTCTCACCGGTCGTGTCAAAGTTCCATTGGACTGACAGTAAAAAGAAAAGCGAGTGCACGTTGTGTTTGTACTATAATATCTCTTGCAGTTGGCTAGTCTCAGTGAGATTGGCCGCCGTAGTCGCCATCGGTTGGGAATTACATTATATGTATATACTAGCATTGCCCGCGGCTCCGCCCGCGTTCAGATGACCGAGAACCAAATTCTTAGGTTTTACATATTAGTATATACTCTTACATTGCAGTTTTCGTATTTTTTCTCAGAAATGAGACATTTTCCCGCGGTAAAAAGTATCCCATATGTTGACCCGGATAACCAGCTACAATCATACCAAATTTCATCAAAATCCCTCTAGTGGTTTTTCTGTGATGCGGTAACAGACAGACAGACAGACAAATATTCTAAAAATAATAGATTCAGCCTCTGTATCGATAAATATGTTTATTTTATTAAGATTTTCTAAAAAAATATTTAATGTACAGATTCGGCTTAGTTACAATTTTATTATATGTATAGATGTTATTAGTTTCTCGAGTTGAATCGAAATAATTACTAGAATTGTCTGTCACGACATTCTCAGTAGCAACATTCTGAAGTTGTGGTATTCGCGGTGTGAAGATCACGGTGGAATATTGGCCTTGCACGCTTTTTCTTTCACTGGGAGTCGAGGCTTCGTTAAAATAAAAAGAGATTGCTCGTTGTGCCTATAATTATAGTTTGTTCTGCTCAGTTAGTTAGTCTTATTTTTAGTGAGACTGGCCATTAAACGAAGTAGTATATTTTATAATCATTTTAGTTCCTTTTCTCTTTGAGTATGAACTGATATCACTCGGTTCTTTTTCACGTTTAAGTTGTAATATAACAAATTTATTACGCACAGTATGTTAGAAAATAAATAAAAGCAATGCCATTCATAGACGGTGGGTCAACAGAACGTGTACGCGACGCATCACGCCGTGTCGCACCACCCGCCGGTCTACAGTCCTAATGTGTACGCGCCTCAGGTACGTTGCTAAAGATAATAATTAATTAAAAAATCCATACTAATTAAAACTAAACTAAAATTATAAACTAAAATTCCTTAAAATTTAGTCATGGTTTTGTAAAAAATCATAAAAAAATGTAAAAAACGAACTATTTTTTTTCTTTAATATGATGTAGAAATATGACTTAAAATAGAATTACCCTTTAATTTACTGTGCATCCATTAAATGCTAAGATATTGGTGATTTAAAAGAAAAGGATCCTTTTTCATTGAAAGTCGAATATCTCAGTTTTTAAAAAAAAAAATTTTTTTATGATTTTTTAACAAAACCATGACAAAATTTTGTAAATATCAACTTAATAATACGAAAACTTTGAGGTGGTAAAAAATATTATTTATAAGGGTCGTAGATTTTTACTAGACGTACAACTTTTGTAAAAAACATTTTTCGATAGAACGTCACAGTGAGCCGGAAATTGAAAAAAACTATTATTCAACGCTATGCGTCTCCCCATTCCTCAGGGGTACCTGGGCATGGGGAGCGTTTTAAGAATATCTATTCCTTATATACCTGATAACATTTTAAAATCATAAAACTTCAGGTTTTCAATATATTTTTTTCTCTTAAAAATAAACAGATACCGATTGGTTTCCAACAAAAAGTATTTATTTAATTTTATCTACTCCGACTTGCCACAGGTGAACTCAACGAACGCGTCGCTAACGGGCGCGTCGTTAGCCAACGCGTACCCGTCCAGCGTCACGCTTACGCAGTACCAGCCTATCATTAATTCTTATCAGGTATGGGGTTTTTTAATTATGGGTTTGTTTCTGTTTTTAAGGTATGGGGATTTTTTTTTAATTATAGGTTTGTTTCTCTTTTTTTCTTTTTTAAAAATATATGTGTACCGTACACCATTTGAATAACTCAGTATATGTATATGCATGCTGTGTCGTCGTATAATTGGAATTATTTTTTAGTATTAATTCTGTTGGATGACCATAAATAAATAAATAGTTTTACTCTATCGTAATAAGTCTATTTCTTTACTAAATTGAAAAAAAATATGAAGGTAAGTAACAAACAACACACAAACTTGCATTTATAACAATACTATTTATAATGCTGGAGAAAGATTTAAGAAATGGATGGAGTATTTAGTCCTCCGAAGGTTTTTTAGTCTCGTTTCACCAAACAATACTAACATTTGTTGATTTACTACATATGAACTTGTAAGAGTTTTTGTGTGTGTGTAACTTTGATGAATTTACCAGGATTTAATGGCGAGCATGCAGAGATCGACCCGTTGCTGTATAGGGCCGTAAAAGATTCTCGAACCATCCCTAAGTATGGGATGGAATATAAATGTATATAAAATACTGAACTTCTGGTTCTCTTTGATGGAAATGTATGGAATTGAGAAAAATTTACTCACATGCGGCGGCTTATCTATAATATTATCTTAATAAAATAAATAAAATGGTAATTTCGATATTTAAAGAGATTGATGATGAGAGAGATTCTAAGAGAGAGCAGCTGCTGAGTTTCTCTTAAGCTCTTCTCAGCAGAACTGCTTTCTGAGCCGGTAGTAGCTGCCTCACGGACTGTGTGACTATGCCGATAATCTTTAAATTAATGTTATGGGTGTTTATATTTATAATATGAACATATTTAAAGTTATATATGTGCAGTGTATCAACTATCCGGTATCCATAACGCAAGCCTCGTAGCTTACCGTGGAACTAGATCGTGCTGTGTGTTAATGTCCCGATATATTTACATTTATTCATTAACAGCAACAGACGCCGGCCGCGTCGACGGTGTCGGCGGTGTCCGCGTACGGCGGCAGCGCGCTGTACACGGCGCCGTACTCGGCGGCGCACCCGCACGCGCACTACCACCACCCGCCCAAACACCACAAGGAACAGACGCAGGTGATTGTGGGTTATTGTGCTTATCACTTAATATTATTAAACAAAGTCATCCGCCGCGTCTGCCTGTCTGTCTGTCTGTCTGTCCGTTCGCGATAAACTCAAAAACTACTGCGCTGATTTCCATACTGTTTTTTACCAATGGAAAGAGTGTTTTTCGAGGAAGGTTTTAGTATATAATTTTAAGTTAAGTTTTTGTATACGTTGGCTAAAATATAACGATATGTATATTTTCCTCTTTATAATATTCACCAACAAATGTTTGTGAATATTATAAAGAGGTAAAGTTTGTGAGGATGTAAGTGATAATGTCTCTGGATTTACTGAACCGATTTAGATGAAATTTGGTAAGAAGATAGTTTGAGACCCTGGGAAGGACATAAGATACTTTTTCCCGGATTCGAATCCCGGAAATCATTCCTTAAGAGGGTGAAAATGGGGATGAAAGTTTGTATTGGGACGCAAGCGAGGGTGAGTCGCTAGTACTAGACATATTAAATCCGCGAAAAAATTCGAAAATATCAAATATTTGCATAAATCGAAAAAAGTATTGCTGTGCTTGTTTGTGTGATGACGGGTAGGTGCAAGTGATTGTGTTTCTGCTCTCTTGGTATTGTGGGGTATTCTATCCAAAGTGTAATAAACATGGTAAATATCCCGTTTTACATCTTAATCATATTGTTCAGTAGTTATGTATTGAGCAAGGAGCAAATGAAGGTCATTGTGTGTTATTGTGGTTGTTTGTGTGATGACGGGTAGATTGGGGTGATTGTGTATGTTTGTGTTTGTGTATTTGGCAAGGAGTAGACTTAAATGTATTTGTGGTGATTGTATGCGTTTACTTGGTAGTGTAAGTTTTGCGTAATGAATAACTACATGGAGGGGATGCAGATGATTTTTGTCGCATCGAAGTCCTGTTGCTCTGGTTTATAATATTATTTTCAATTTATGAAGCATGGTGCCATGACACCTGTCAATACAGATTGGGAAGTGACAGAATTTAAGATTTCTAAAATATCATTGATTAGTACATGGTTGTGCACTAATACGATTTAATCGCAAAAAAAATTTTATTTTTTTAATAATCTACTATTAACATATCTAAAATTAAAACTCCTCAGTGATGTAAAAATTGACCCACTTTCTCTTTCGGAATTTTTAAAATATCAGAATATTCATCCCATGTAAAGTGAGAATAGTTGATAATGTTTGTTGTTTTTTTTTATAAATGTTTTAATAATTTGTGTTTGTTTTGTTTCAGTATGACAATTCAGTAGCATCAAGTAATAGTTTAACGAGTACATCCACAACACAATCAAATCAAACAACGGCTAAAGTTACCACGACGACAGGTATGTAACGACTAATGCTATTAAGTTGATTTTATTTAATTGGTTTAAGTGTTTTAAATGGGGGTAAACGACGGGGGTGTGTATTGATTATGTGGTTATACATGGTCAACCCATGACAAATACACCAGTAGTTAGAATCGACCCCTTTCGATTTGTACGGATTTTGGTCAGAAGTTTTCTTTTGTCATACAACAAAGTTATGCCAAAAAGTATAAATTTCTTTTCTATTTAATTTTAAATTTTATATTTCAAATATCTTGAAAACTGTTATAGATACAGAAACAGACTTAAATTTGTTTTAAAGGGGACACTTGGGGCTAATAGAAAAAAAAAATGAAATATGAAAAATTGTCAAATTTAGGATTTTTCTAAATCGTCAAGTTTGGCTCAATTTTTTTTGTATTATATCTTGTACTTATTTAAAAATTGAACTGAAATCTGTAGATTGCGTTTTTGGTGTTTTTTCATGAAATCATATTTTAGATTTTTTAATTTTATGAAAATAATATATTTTTTCTGTTAGTAATTAAGTAAGGTTAAGCAATCATGTAATTCTCAGCAGTAAAAATTTCACTAATTTCTGCGACACTCATTCGATTCATTGATTTCATTCATAAATTGTAATAATTAATATAATACTGAATGTTTTTCTTGAATATGTACAAAGTGAGCGGCGCGGCGAGCTCGGGCGCGGCGTCGTCGGCGGCGGGCGTGGCGGGCGCGGGCGCGGCGGGCTACGCGGGCGGCGCGCTCTACGGCGGCGCCTACGCCTACGACGAGCAGCTCATGCGCAGCGGCCTGCCGCACCACATGGTATGTCCTGTCCTGTCTTTTACGGATTTCTTTCTATACTTATACTAGCGACTCACGTCTTCGTCCCTAGGTACGTTTTAATTTTTTTGAGCGGAACCCTAATTCTTTTTCTAAAATAAAGGCAGCCTATGTTACTTCCTATAACATCAGCTGTCTTCCAGTGAAAGTCCCGTTAAAATCGGCCCAGCCGTTTTGAAAAATAGCCGAAACAAACAGACAGCCAGACAGACAAAAATTAATAAAAAATGTGGTTTTTTTATAAACACCGTATATAATTCCATATGCATTTAGTACAACGCTGTTATTTTGACATTACAAACAGACACTTCAATTTTATTTATCTGTATAGACTAGCGACTCACCCTCGCTTTGCTCGGGTTCGTCTCTAGCTTGCTTCCCAATACAAACTTTTATCCCCATTTTCACCTCCGTTAAGGGATGATTTCCGGGATAAAAAGTATCCTATGTCCTTCCCAGGGTCTCAAATATCTTCTTACCAAATTTCATCTCAATCGGTTCAGTAGATCCAGACGTTACCCCCTACAACGTCACAAACTCACAAACTTTACCCCTTTATAATATTAGTATAATAGAAAGTCATAAGAATTGTAAATAAAACTATCTTCTCGAATTATTTCGCTGATTTATTTTGATTTTTGGTTCCCGACGTTTCGAATGCTTTACAGCAATTCATGGACACGGGAGAGACGATGATTGTCAAGCAATCAATTTGACCATTAAAATTTCAAATATTCGCGTAAACCTAAGAAAGTATTAGGAGAAAATTGTATTTTTATTTGTAATTGATGAACTTAAAAATCCTTTAAACCGGTTTAGATGAAATTTAATGAGGATTTGTGCCTAAATTTGTTATATAGATCCAGACATCATAGACTCGGCCGTTTAGACTAAACTGTGAGTTATTCTCTAGAGATTATGGTAAATGGATGACGTGAAGACATTTTTTATTAATTACCACATCCACAAAAATAAAAAGTGATAAAATTAAATGTATATATATTTTTTAGGGTGGATACTACGAAGTGGGCTACAGCGCGCGGGAAGGCACATTCGGCTTGGGCGGTGGCGAAAGATTCGGCAGGACGGATGCCGCTTCACCACAACAGGTAACTGTTGTTATACTATTGTATGCAGTCCTTTTTAACGTCCCACTGCCTGCAGTGCCTGTGGAGGCAAACTGTCTGCCTGTTTGCGAGTACGTGTGGTTCGCCTTCTTGAACCTTCTTCTTCTGCCGGCTCTATTTCCTTCTCCTTTTGCAACGCTTTACGTGGCTACCTACTATCTAAGTGAAGCTACTGAACCTACGTATCTAAGTGGAGCGAGGGTTAGTAGTTAATAGAGCAATATCATTATAATCATCTACATTATTTTAACACTATAGAAAATGTGCATTGAATATAATTCTCTCTGAATACAATTAACCACGATTTGCAGATTTATTTTGTTGCTAAGTACAGTTTTGGTAACACATTTATTTAAAGACTAGCGGCTCACCCTCGCTTCGCTCGGGTTCACCTCTAGAAAAGCACAAACAGATCTATCCCACGGGAACCGTTCATTTTTCCAGGATAAAAATAAGTAACCTGTTGTTTGACCTGCAATATAAGGTATCAGCATGCCAAATTTTACTAAATTAGGTGCATAAGTTTTTGTGTACTGAGCTGTATAAGTAACTAAAATTTTTTAACTATCCCACGGGAACTCTTTAATTTTCCAGAATGAAAAGTATCAAATTTCATTTAAATAGGTTCAATAGCATCGGAGACTAGCCCGTACGAACAGACAAACAGACAGAGAAACAAAAAAATTGAAAAAAATCTGGATTTGTTTTATTTCTCTCCTCACGGGATGTAAGAAGAGAACTGACTCGTTTTTTAGCAATTTTTTCTACCATCTATGTACAGACATTCGACCTCTACAGTTTTATTATTCATATATGTACCTATATTCAGATAGAATAAATAACGTATAATAAAACAGAAATATATAATAATGAAAATAGTTATAGCGAGTGTACCATAGGAGATAGACATATACTATGTAGAACTTTTCTATAGACCTTTGTAAGACTTACAATTTTCTTGTACAATGTTTTGATCTATCTCTTAAGGTTGAGCCAACGTTAGCCATATAAATTTCTAAGGACAATTCGATAGAACCAGTTATTGTATATTCCCGTGGGAATGAATAATTTGCCTGTCGTAAAAAGTATTCTAAATGTTGACCCTAGCACTAAGTTTTATCACTACAAAATGAAGTTAAAATCGGTTGAGTACTTTTTGCGTGAAACGCGGACATCGATTTGACTAAGTTTTATTATAGGTATCGATAAGAATAAATATTGCGAGTGTAACTTAAGAAATAGATATATACTATTCAGAACTTTTCTGTAGGACTTTTCAAGGACCTTAATTTTTTAGTATATTGTTTTGATGTATGTCTTGAGGCTTAGCCAGAGGAAGATTTCTAGGGAGGACTCGATAAAACCAGTTATTATATTTTCCCGTGGGAAAGAAAGATTTTCTTTAAGTAAAAGGTATCTAAGCAGTGGTATCCCAGTGGTAACGCGCTCGCTTGGGAAACCGAGTGAAGCAAGTTCAAATCCCGGGTCTAGCACCTCTGATATTGGCCAGCGTGGTGGACTATGGCCTGATCCACCTCGTACTGAAGGGAGGCCCGTGCGTGTGTTAAAAAGGGCTGAATACAACATACATACATACATACAAAAGGTACCCTAAATGTTGACTTGAGTAATAAGTTATCACTTCACCAAATTTCGTTGAAATTGGTACATTTCTTTTCGCGTGAACCGCGCACACAAAAACAGACAAACAGACATGCAGGCAAACAGACAAATAGACAATTTTTTAATAACTATTGTTTTGGGGTCTATGTTGTGTACATAATACGTTACAAATAAACAAAAACATCTATCCCACGGGAAAAGTCCATTTTCCGGGATAAAAAGTTACCTATTTGTTATTCTGATGTATGAACTATATTATTGTAAAGTTTCATCAAAATCCAATCAGTGGTTTTAGTGTACTAAGCTGTATAAGTTGTTATAGTTTTTTAACTATCCCACGGGAACCCTTTAATTTTCCAGGATGAAAAGTATCTAAGATGTTGCCCGGGGATATAAGGTACCACCATGCAAAATTTCATTTAAATAGATCTAATAGATCCGGAGATTAGCCCATACAAAGAGAAAAACAGATAAACAGCTCGCTCGGGTTCGTCCATACATACGAATATGTTGTCTTATCTCTTTAACCATTTGTCCAAATTATATGCAGTAAAAGGGAAAAGTCTTTTATTTTAAACATTTTAAACGATAAATTTACTTATTTTTATAAGAATTCATAATTATTGATAAAATGGCCAATAAACATGACTTACCGATTTAAATGATTTTTTTAATATAAAAAACTACTTTTTGTGACTTAAATATAAAAGTTAGACATATGCTGTCGCGGACTTTTTTGTAGGCATTATTAAGCTCTACAACTTTTCTCTAGAACATAATCATATATCTCTCATCGTTAAGGCAGCGTTCGTAAGAAACGTTTTCGTTCGACCGTTTTTTCTACGACTTACTTTGCAAATCCGACTACCATGAAAAAGCCTTTTCATTTTTCGGGTTAATATATAGCCTATGACACTCAGAAAGAACGTGGCTTTCTATTGGTAAAAGAATTTTGAAAATCGATTCAGTAGATCCAGAGATTACCCCCTACAACGTCACAAACTCACAAACTCACAAGATCACAAACTTTACCTCTTTATAATATTAGTATAGATACGGGAAGCATAATAATAATAAAGCGAATATTGAGAAGTTGTGGAGTACTAAAAGTATGGGATAAATTGTATCTCTGAGTAGAAAACAAAGCGATATACATATATATACATATATATACATACAAATATATTTTGTTTACTTATATTTCTATGTTTTCTCTATAGGTCCCAGCTGCGTTACCGCCTGGCTACGCATACTTCTACCAACCACCGCCTACCACGTACCAATATGGTGTATACCCTACAGCGGTAAGTATCTTTTGTAATATGAAGATTTGATCAAAAAAAGCAAAACATTTGAGCACGTTTTCAATTTTTTTGTGAAAACGACATTAAGCATTGCTTTTTAAGTTCAATTTACATGTTGTATATTTATTTTGATTAGAATCGAAACCACTACACACTACACTATACACTATTGGTGACAGTTTTAAGAGAAATTTGCATGGGATTTTGTATATAGATAGTACTTTTATAATTAATGTATCTGTAATAATATTATAAAGAGGTAAAGTTTGTGAGTTTGTGACATTGTAGGGGGTAATCTCTGGATCTACTGAACCGGTTTATATGAAATTTTGTAAGAAGATAGTTTGAGACACTAGGAAGGACATAAGATACGAGGATTTTTATCCCGGAAATCATCCCTTAAGGATGAGGAATTAACCAGTAAAGTTAGTTCAAGTAGTCTAATTATTTTTTGAATAAGTATCGTTTGAATTTACAATACGACCCAGACTTAATAACAAATTTGAAATTGAAAAATTTTATAAATACAAAAAGTTGTTTCAACATAATTTTGACCTTCAAAACCAATGCCAGTACGGGGGCGGCTCGAGCGTGGGCGGAGTGGGCGGCGTCGGTGGTGTGGGCGGCGTGGGCGGCGTGGGCGTGGGCGGCGTGTCGGGCGCCGGCAAGGTGTCCGCCTACTCGCAGCAGCAGCAGCCGCCCTACGACGCTCAGGACTCTTACAAGACTGGTATGTTGGGAGCTTTAAGTTGGTTTTTATTATCTACCTGCCTCGGTGATGCAGATCCGAAGGACCCGGGTTCGAGTCCCGGGTCGGGTCAAGTTTAATTGTATACTCAATGTTAGTTATTGAGTTATTTATTTAGAGCATTTTTTGAGTCTCAACAGAATATTAGTTGTTTTGTTTAGAAAGTCTCTGTAACTTTAGGTGGGAAGTTGGCGGTGTTTCATCCCCATGTCAAAGTAGGATATGTGCCTGATCTCTCACCGGTCGTGTAGTGTCACCAGGAAAAAAAACGATTTTTTTTCCAAGATTCCACAGTTATTATTAGTATATTGTTTTATAAAATAAGTAAGTAGGTATAATAAAACAATTATATTATGTACATTCCAGCTGGGCCATACACGGCGAGTGCTAACAAATCTGGTGGAGGCGCCACGGCTGACCTCTCCAATACTATGTACGCGAAGACACATGTCGCGCTAAACAAAGTCAACGTGAGTTATTCTATTGTATAAATAATATGTATTTATATTTATTAAATATGTCTGACTGTGTGTGAATTGATTGTGCTTTGAAAATTTTAATTTTAAATATACTTAGTTATCTATGGACTTGTATCGGGTCATTGGTTTTCTAGTTAGTGGGATGGTGTTGAATTTAGTTGGTGAAAGTTGAATTTATTGTGTGCATGTGTGTGTGATTGGCTTAAAGTTTTATTATATTATGGAGCTAAAGCAGTGGTAGCCGAGTGGTAACGCGCTTGCTTAAGAAAACAAGTAAATAGGGTTCAAGTCCCGTGTCTCGTGATATTTTATGTGCGAATCAATTTTAACATGATTACCACGCGCTTTACGGTGAAGGAAAATCTCGTGAGAAAAGCTACATGTTTAAGAGAACTTAGCAAATTTTTGAAAGATATACGTAGTCCGACAACTGGTACTTTGGCCAGCGTGGGACGAGATCGTGTAAAAAGTGGGACGTTATAAAGGATTGAATACAATAAATAAAAAATGTGTTGGGACATTAACACGCAGCACCATTTAGATCCATGGTAAGCTACGAGACCTGTGTGATACCAGATAGTTGATACACTACACATATATAAATATAAACATCCATGACTGGAGTACAAACATTCGTGCTCATCACACAAACGAATGCCCCCAGCGGGACTCGAACCCGCGACCGCTGGCACACCAAGTAGGTTCACTACAAACTGAGCCAATTTTGTCGTCAATGACAACAAAAAATGAGACATGATGATTTGAGAGGAGCAACCTAGTGAAACGGTCGCGTGCGCAACATCCACAGAGCTACGAGAAGGCCGGCTTCCACAGCGGCACGCCGCCGCCCTTCGGCGCCGGCTCGCACCTGTACATCCCCGCGCCGCCGCACCACCACCCCCACCACCACGCGCCGCAGCCGCACCAGGTACTGGCACACACACACATACACAACACGCACATCAATATACACACAGATAGCATTCACATACCGATAAACACACGGACAGCCATATATGCACACAGTGGTATACACAACACACAGACAATATATAGCCTGCAGTGTTTGCTATATTGATAATTACTTACTGTTTGGATACCACTCTCCATACAGTTTGTTTGTAGTTAATCATTTGCACAGATTAAAAAAATAATTTTAATGTCTAACAATAGAAAAATATCCGGGATAAATATTGCTTACAAGGACACCGAAAATACCTAAAATTCAAACAAAATTTCTATTTTAATTAAATATGTAGTAAACACACACATTTACACAAAACCTTATATATTTATTTATATAGTTTGCATGTGACTGGTAGAATTTATAATTTAATTAAATTCTTAGAGTTTGCTTTCGTTTGTAGATGGATGGTCGGGTGAACAGTAGTCATAATAGGCGGGTAAGTTATATGTATATTTTGCTGTCTGTATGTGCATTGTGTTTCGTATATATGTACATATATTATACACACATATATATTATTTAAAGTATTTATAAAAAGTAGATGATAAAGCTAGATACGATTTTTTTCACTTGATGATGATTATAATTTAAATAAAATACTTGCAATGATACCCAATACAAACTTTCATCCCCATTTCCAATCCCTTAAAGAACTATTCCGGGATAAAAACTCCTATGTCCTTCCCAGGACTCAAACTATCTTCTTGCCAAATTTCACCTAAATTGGTTCAGTAGTTTCGGAGCCCATTCGGTGCAAGCAAACAAACAAATAATCAAATCTTTCCTCTTCATAATATTAGAATTGTACTAAAATTTTCCTTTTGTTTTTTATGCTAATGTTTATGTTAAATATTTAAGTATAACAATGCTCAACTGCATTCTAACAGTGTTATTAGATTAATATTTAATAGTTGTGACGTTAATAATTAAAAGTTATTACAATATTGTAAAAGACAGAATATACCTCAAAATTACGGTGTATTCCCCCTAGCTTTATCATTTAGCTCAAGTTGGTTTATGTTTTTATTTATATTAAGTTCTTTATTTAGTACTTTCTTAGATTTACGCGAATATTTGACATTTTAAATAAAACTATCTTTTCGGATTTTGTCGCGGATTTATTTGTATTTTTGTTTCCCGACGTTTCGAATGCTTTACAGCATCCATGGTCACGGGAGAGACTGAGGTGTTACATGTCTTAAAGATATAGTTGTTACAGACAGCCTACCCACAATTAACAAAATGAAAATTGCACCAATTACATTACAATATTTTAACTTTAAATATTTTTATAATTTTAATTATAATTGAATATGGAAAATTATTTATTTAATTTTTGCTATTATTTTTATAATTATTACAATTTTAAAAAATATTAATTAGTAATCTATATTTAGTGTTGCCATTATTATATTTATAACCATAAGAAAAATGTAAAATATAGTATTAATTATTTAAGCCACAATTAATAATATTTTTTCACTTTTTCATTTGTAAATGTATGTAGTAATGTGTTGCTTAATAATTTTTTTTTTAAATAATAGCAAATTTAAATTAAAATTATTATTTTTTAATTAATCTTAACTTTTTCAAATTACACATAGATCAATTGTGGCTTAAATAATTAATACTATATTTTACATTTTTCTTATGGTTATAAATATAATAATGGCAACACTAAATATAGATTACTAATTAATATTTTTTAAAATTGTAATAATTATAAAAATAATAGCAAAAATTAAATAAATAATTTTCCATATTCAATTATAATTAAAATTATAAAAATATTTAAAGTTAAAATATTGTAATGTAATTGGTGCAATTTTCATTTTGTTAATTGTGGGTAGGCTGTCTATAACAACTATATCTTTAAGACATGTAACACCTCAGTCTCTCCCGTGACCATGGATGCTGTAAAGCATTCGAAACGTCGGGAAACAAAAATACAAATAAATCCGCGACAAAATCCGAAAAGATAGTTTTATTTAAAATGTTCTTTATTTAGTGTTACCCGCCTTAATAATGCATGTTTTATACTTTTTTATATTATGTTTATATATAATGCTTTATAACTTCGTTCAGTGTACAATTTTAGGTAACAAAACTAAACATACTACAAAAAAATCACCTTTTCTATGTAAATAAAAAATATATTGTGAATTTTAACAAATTAGTAGTTGTTAAAGCCATTGCTAACATTTTAACTTTATTAAAATATAACTGAAACATTAACAAGTGCCAAGGAATCTGTATTGACTGTTAAAATTGTGGGTTTGATTTGGCTTGGAACAAAACAAATTAATATTTTTAGTTTGAGGTATATGTAATGAAATTCAATTTCTTTACATTGTTATGATCTCGGACTACTATTATAAATTCAAAAGTTTGTATGTGTGTGTATGTGTATGTTTGTAGAACTTTCACTCTATAACGACTGGACGAAAATTCATAAAGTTTAATACATAACATGCAGACTTTGACCTGTAGTAACACATAGGCTACTGCTAAACACATACCTATCTAAGTTGCTAGTTTCAAAATAAATTCAAATATATAATAGAAACGTTTAGTATAGATTTCTCACAGATGAGATATTTTCCCGTAGTAAAAAGTATCTTATATGTTGACCTGGATAACCAGCTATCATCCGTACCAAATTACATCAAAAACCCTCCACCTCCACTGGTTTTAAAAACCATAGATTCGGCATCTGTATCGATAATAAAGTCTATAATAATCGACAATGAGATTTTCAAAAAACATTTAATGTACAGATTCGGCTTAGCTACAATTTTATCATATTTATACTCGTAGATGAATTTACATGTATGTGTTTATGTTGAACAGGATAGCGCGTCGTCCGGCCGGTCCGGCGCCGCCAAGCCCGCGGCCAGCAAGCCCGCGTACTCGCAGTCCTACTGGGCGCCCAACTAGGCCACTCGGTGAGATTCCATATTAAATAATAAAAATGCATTACATGAAGAAAGTATCTCATATTTAATATAAGAATATAGTCTAATAGCGACTTGCTTCGTTCCTATAGTTCATTCACTTTAAGAAAATAGTGAGTCGTCGTTGTCCACCGGGGTAGCCACGCCCACCCCACCCCCCCCCCCCCCCCTCCCGACCAATTAGATTGCATAAAACTATAATGTCATATTTCACTATGACCAGTTGAAGGCAGACTTTCATCATCAGACATCAGTCAAATATAATAATGCAAATATTGTACAATATACATATTACTCTTGCTTTATATGTGGAGTGAATAAAGTCAGACGATTGGCAGAATTTTAATTTTTTTTTATAATACAATTATAAGTGTAATATACCTGTGGCATGCCTTAGTTTCATATAATTTTCAATGTCAGCGCGGCTATATAGAGGTAGAGGAAAATATGGCCTAATCGAAAATGTGTTGAATTATTTGTATTATGTTGTTGTAATTAATATTAATTATTCGCTATATTGTCTCCAGGGTCCGAACACAAGCTAATCACGTGTAAATAGACGTCGACCCCTTACTGACCGCCGCCCACTGCGACACGACAACATGGCGTTCCCGCGCGTTTCTAATACGTCAATTTGTATGAAAAATATTTAATGAAACTTAAATAAAATATTTAAATAATTGCTAGTGTACAGTGTCGAAATGTAAAATGGTCTCCTTAAATACTTATTGAACGCGCGATGACGTCACACAGTGCGAGCGCCATTTGCGCGTGTGTCCTGTTATGTATCGTGTGTGCGTTTTTGTGGCGTCAGTGTCATACCGGCCCTCAATGATTTGGTTTAGTGCGTATTATATATAGTATATTATACATACAAAAAAAAACAGTACGTGTATCTATATAAAACGTGGAACTGATATTGTAAAATAAAATGGAAGATAATTGAGAAAGAAGGTTTAAAAAGTATGTTAATAAAAAATAATGTTTACTTTTTTTGAAATTCCTATTGTATTTTTTTTTATTAGGCGTCACGACGCAGCGTTGTTTCTAGACTTAAAAAATATAGCGTGTTTAACGCGAGATTAGGTTAGTTAGTTATTCGGGTTTATAATGTAAAGGCTTTTCACACTGTGGGATTGCCGTGGGTCGACGACGGCAGTGTGAAAGGTCTAAATTCTGCGTCGTGAAAGCAACTCTCATTTGTGCGTAAGTCCACTCCGTTAGGTTACAATTTGTTTTTAAATAAATTAACAGTAGTGCTACATTGTAATATTAATAATATACGGATCGCAACTAGATCTTTATATTATTAACCAACTCTATATATATGTATGTGTAAGCGTTGGTGCGCTATGCGTGTCAGAACTTTTGTATTTAGTTGTCATACGTTTTGTAATTATATATTATTATTAAAAAAAATATAACTAAATGAATGGACGTCGTAGTTCGTTGTAACAACCGTATTATAGTGGTCTTTTTTATTGAAGAATGTCGAGATGATCTCGCGGGCATTTGAAAGTATGGGGAAATACACATATTGGAACATGTTATTGTATTTTTATTGGATGTTTTGTTTGAATTTTTTTAATATAATCTGTCCTTTTCCATCCTTTTGTTAAGGTTTTTTATTTTATCCGATGATAAAATTAAGTATGTATGTGTACAGAAGATTTTCACAGTCTCAGGTATGTTATTCTGGATAAAAAAATATAAATATAAAAACCCAACTGCGTAAAAGCTACCTAAAAAGATGAAAACAATTTGACGAAGGAAGGTAATATTATATAGTCTGAGACATGCATATTACGTACATCTCGCAGCAATGAAATGGATGAAACGTAAAAGTTTAACAGACTTGTTTTATAGTCTTGTAATATGACAAAAAAAATGATGCCAAAAATTTGCATACTCTTTTGTTATTAATTAGTTCTGTTATATTTCATAAATTGACTTCATCCAGGACTCGAATTTATGACTATATGATATGCGGAAATGCAAGCCAGTGGTAGCCCAGTGGTAACGGCTTGAGAAACCATGTGAAGTGGGTTCAAATCCGAGATCTCGCAGCTCTAATAATCTCATATGCGAACCATTTTGTTTATGATTACCACTTGCCTTGCTTATCTGAGAGAATCTGGCAAGTTCAAAGATACGTCAAGTTCACTCTTACTTTGCTATTATGGAGACTACAGCTTGACTCGATCGAGGGTAGGCCCATGCCCAGCAGTGGGACGTTAAATAAAAGGGCTTACTTTAAAAAATATATGATAATATGCAGGTTTCTATTACTTTGTACTTCATACCAATTATAAGAAATAGTTAAAAATAAACAATTTTTTAACAGTCTTTAATCCAAAAAGATTTTTTTATAACAACAATAAACATTCAAAAAGGCACTTATGATATTTAATTATTGTCTACAAAATAGACCAAAATATAATTTACTTGTAATTTAGTTGTATAATTAAAAAAAAACATTACACACTACAACTAAGCTTCATTATAAAAGTATAAAAATAAAGTGTTGCCATATTTAAAAAAGCATTTTAAAAAATATTACAAATAGATTTTATAGATGTATTGCTGCGGCATCATCAACTATCCAATACAGAGAGCCATCTGGTTTTACTCTAGTTGCTGGTAAGTCTTCTTTATCCTTCAAAATGCGCTGAAAGAAAAAAATATATAATTACGCACAGTGGTATTTTTGTTTTAAATTATAATTTAAGCCTAATTTAGTTTATCTGATATGTTGTGTATAAATTTCATTCTAATTAGTTGATTAATATTATACATAAAACTTTAAAAATGTGGGCTTTGCAGGCTAATGAATTGACATACTTCTCTTTGATAGATCAAACATTTAAATTCTGTAGTTTTTTTTTGTGTTTATATTGATACAGAATTGAACTGGTGAGTTTGGTGGTAGTAAGAAATACTGATAAAACTAATGTTTCATTATGACATATCATAGCTATTGGTAACATATAAGACAGACAGTAGAAATAATTTTATTTTTTATAGATAATTTTACTGTAATCAGATCAGTCTCCAAAGGACTTTGTTTCTGTATATGGCTTAGGAGTTGTGTTTACAGACACAATACATTCTGCCAGTGTCACATACATACATTACACATTTTTACTTTATTATTATATTATACATTATTATATTATTTATTATATTATACATTTTGTGGGGAAGACACGAATAAGATTGAGCGGTTTTAAAGGTCATGACAAGGAAAATGACATTAATGAATATAACTTACTCAAAATGTTACTTGACAATGGTAACAAAATTAATATGTTATAATGCAGATTCAGTTTTTCAAAGGGAATGTTTATATAATTTACTTTAACTGAATGTCCAGTGAACTTTATTATATCAAAGAGTGCTTTAAACATACAGATGTATTTATACACAAATGTAACTAACCTTCACCATATCAGCTTTTCCAGCACCACTGATTGCAAAAATGCAGTTTCTTGCATTATTTATGACGGGATAAGTCAAAGTAATTCTGGCAGGGGGTGGCTTGGGAGAGTCAGTTATTGGAGCAACTTTTAAAGTTGTTTCATCCAGTAAACTATGCCCGGGGAATAAAGAACATGTATGTCCATCTGGTCCCATTCCCAATAAGAGAAGATCAAATTTATAATTTTCACTTTTAAATGCATTTGTCAGTTTTTCTGTATAATCTCTAGCCGCATCATTTGCTGCGAAGTTAAAAATTCAAAAATAAAATCTTTTGTAATAATTTATAGTATTGCTTATATTTTCATTAAATGTCATTGCTAACATTTTATAATTTATAACATATTTAAAATTCAGATTTAAAGAAAAGGGTGTCATTCTGGATGTCTATATAATATGCAATACTTATATCAATTTTTAATCAATTTTCATATTTTTTTTTATTAATAGGTTATACAACTATCAAAGGTGGTCCCACATAAATTTAATAAACTATCCCCTTAGGCCTTAAGGTTCCTTTTAAGTGATTTAGTTGAATGAAACATATTTTAATGAAATGATATATGAATTATGCTATTTTTTCCATTTCACTTTCAAATGTTTCTATTAATATGGACAGACAATAATATAATTGAAAATATACCTGAAACCTCTTGTTTAATTATAATAAACTGGTCCCTTTTTAACTGCGTCTTAGGTATTAACTGTTTTTCATAAGTTCCAAATGTTGAATCTTCACTGTTTTCAGGGACAACTCTTTCATCACAAAATGCGAGCACCCACTTAGACCAATCTGTGTTTATTTCTGGCAGTCCTTCACATAGATATTTAATTAATGATCCACCTGCAATTAAATTATGTGAAGAACTTAGTAGAAACATCTACATTCTACATAATGTTTTAACGAAACAAATTGGCTATAATTGTATAAAATTATGAATACAAGTTAGTTTTTATATAAAATGTGCAGCATATAAGTATATAATACTTGTTACTTATTGAAATTTTTACTTGGTAACAATAAAGTACTTTACCGGAAAGTCCGACGAAAAACTTCCCACGATTGAGAATGGCATCGTTAGAGATTTTTTCTATATACGAAGATAGCTTTTTAATTAATTCTTGTTCGTTTGCTACTTTAATAATAGTCATTTTAATTTAATTTGATTGTTTAGAACAAAGTTTCGAACTTTTCAAAAATCACTTTGTAATGACAACTACAACCTTCAAACTTAGAGTTAGAGCTGTTGTCAAGTTCATAAATAGTGATGTCATATCAAACTCGGGGAAGTATATCGATCATCGAACATAAAAAAAAACATCCGAATTGAGATCCGATATAAAGCATTTACTACTTTTTGGACGTCAGTCATAAATAACAATTTACATAAGCGATACTAGGTTTGGGAAGTTCATTCTTAACAATTCTATTTTCAAAGCAGCGCAGTTATACGAGTAGTTTCATCATCGTCATTTTAATTCGATTTAGTTTCATTCGATGTTTATTAATTTGAATTCGTTCACATTCCTTCACATTATATTATCTGCTGCGTTTTGAGCCGATAAAGATAATGAAGTAAAATTTAATACGATAATAAAACTACAGAGTATAATTTAACGATTGATTATTTGTACGTTTTTAAAATTATTTTGCTCATTATTTTAATTTTTATAAGAATATAATAATTAAACTTGTACTGTTGTGGTTAAAATAAGCCGCTTTATTGGTGTATTTTTTTATTTATATTTTGTAAATAAAAATTGTAAAAACAAAGTTTGATTAAAAATAGTCCTAGAGTAAAGTGAGGAGCATTCAATCTAACATAATTTAAATTATTAGTGAAGCCTGACAATATTTTGAGTTTAAGAAATAATTTACTTATAATTACTATACCTTAATAACAAAACTTTAAATTACATACTACATTGTTTATATTTGTACAATATATTTTGACAAAATAATTGTTAAATGAAGTACACAACTGCTAAAAAGTCTGTCAGAAGTGGGATTCGAACCCACGCCCACAGAAGTGGACTGCGACCTGAACGCAGCGCCTTAGACCGCTCGGCCATCCTGACGTGATATAAGTAAACGAAATTTACGAACAAATTTAGTAGCTTTATTTATTACACTTAAATAAAAATTAAGGTTTACTTATAAACTTACAGTTTTTTAGATATATAATTGTAATTATAAACTACACGTGTTATATTTTCGTTTCTTATAAAACAGTGATGTATTCTTAGGGTATAAGAGTAGGTACTGTAATTTGTAAACAACTAAAAAAAAACTGTAAAAGACATTCAAGATTCAGCCAATTATAGAAAAAACTTTTTTTATTTATAAAAAGAAACAATTGAAGCCATTCAAAGATGTTATTTCCTTTCAGTATATTTATAATCAGATGTCAACGTTTAGCTATTTTATATTTTTCAATTCACTATTATATATGTATTTTTTTTTGTTTTTATAATGAAAAAAAAATAAATCATTAATTTTGTTTAAAATAAATTATGTAATATAAGTTTACTTTTCATCAATAGATGACGATATAATTAAAATTATGAAGCTTCATCTATTCGACACTAGGTGGCAGCAACGTTTAATTAATATAATATCAACTCACATTCTTTGCTCCATATACTCTTTAGTTTTGTAGGGTAAGTAAGAAAAAGTGAAAGTATTATCAAAATGGGCACGTCGACCGCCACAGCTCGGTTGTTGACCGTCAAAAATATTCGCCATGACGTAATTAATGTAATATCGATGACTGTATAAAGTAATCGTTGTTTTAACTATTGACTCGTTGATATTGGTGCAGGAGCTTTTCGTAGACTTAAGTTCAACGTGTAAGCTTTTGTATGAAATTTTATTATTATATTATTTTTAAATAAATGAAATAAAGAAATTATATTATATTGTACAGTGTTTTATAATACATTTACAATTTAGATATTAAATATTAATTTCAATTTTATCTAAATTATATATGAGAAACTTTTCTACTGATTACTGTCTTATTACTTTTACTGTTTCACACTTACTTGTCCGGTACATATTCATGAGTTTTGCAAATTTTAATGTAAACTTTTTCAATTATAGTTATTATTTAATATCTTTTTTTGTATAATATCTTGTGTGAGTTTTATAAAATAATAAATAAATATATCACTTGGAATGAGCAAGATTATCTTGGTTATCGTAGCGACTTACACTCGTTTCGGTCCGTCTCCAGTTACGTTTTAAATAGATATAAATAGTTATTGCGAATGTGACGACTCGATAGAACCATTTATTGTGATTTCTCGTCAACATGAATTTTTTTTCTTTAGTAAAAGGTATCCTAAATGTTGACCCAAGTAATAAGTTATCACTACATAAAGTTTAATTAAAATCGGGTTAGTACAAAATTAATAACTATTGTCTTTTAGTCTTTGTTTTTAAAAAAAATCATGTACAGATTTCGCTTTGTTACTATTTTATTATAATACTTATGTAGGCATAGAAGAGGGTTATAGCTTCTACGGTTAACGCACCTCGATACTTAAAAATACTTTCAAACGATTTTATCTGTAACTAGCATTGCCAAAAACCAGATGACCAAAAACCAAATTCTTGGTTTTATATAATATATATAATATTAGCATACTCTTACATTGCAGTTTTTGTATTTTTTCTCAGAAATGAGACATTTTCCCGCTGTAAAAAGTATCCTATATGTTGCCCCGGATAATCAGCTATCACCATACCAAATTTCATCATAATCCCTCCAGTGGTTTTTCTGTGAAGCGGTAACAGACAGTCAGACAAAAATTCTAAAAACTATAGATTCGGCCTCTGTATCGATAATAATGTCTATTTCAATAAGATTTTCCAAAAAATATTGAATGTACAGATTCGACTTAGTTACAATTTTATTATATGTACATATAGATGTAGGCCTAGAAGAGTGTTAAAGCTTCTGCGGTTAAAAATAAAAAATAAATAAAAATAAAAAAATAAAAAAAATTAACGCACATCGATACTTAAAAATACTTTCAAACGATTTTATTTATACTAAATAATGATATAAAATTATAAATTCAATTCTTGCACGATGCATATTCATGTACAATAATTATGTACTAGTGATGTACGACTGTCGACGAAAATGATATATTGATATGGTATCCTTGAACTATCGCCGAATTCATGTCTGGCCTAGCCCAGTGTTTGCTACCTATAATTATGATTATTATTAGAATAATAAATACAGGTTTAAATTTAATTTTTAACTTCTCTTTTAATTAATTTATTTAGGGTTGATAATAAATATTTATTTAAGTTTTTTTTTTAAATTAATAGATAAAAGGTTAGATTGAGGTTATAATAAGGAAGTTTTACCTGTAACAGAGAAGCTGTGGGGTAACAGGTTAGCGTGCAACGGGTATTACTTGATGAAAGATAATGGCTTTCAAGTTATATAAGGAAAAATTAAATTCAATTTTTTTCCTTCTTTTTTATATTGGTGTGTATTAAAATTATTCTTTTATTTAATTCAATTTTCTTGTAATGGCTTCACAGAGTGCCAGTTTAGCACAATTTCATGTAGAATAATCCGTCAAGTGCGAGTCGAACTTGCACACGAAGACGATTAATAAATCGATTTTTTTTAATTTGCACGGAAGCTTTTTGAAATTCGCCATCTTGGTTTTTTATTGTTATTTGTCATAGCGGCAATAGAAATACATGCTCTGTGAAATTTTCAATTCTCTACCTATTACGCTTCATGAGATAAAGCCCTCTGACAGACAGCGGAAGCTAAGTAATAGAGTTCCGTTGGCACCCTTCGGGTACGGAACCCTAAGAGTGTATTCTCATTAATTGTCGAGTATCTCTACGAAAATAAAAGGAAAAAAAACTACCGAAAATCTGCATCAAAGAAGTAAAGTAAGTCGAAGACATTGGCTATTACGTATATATAAAATATATCCTTCATACACATGTCCTAATATATGACGATATTTCATACGACATATCTATGGAATACATATTGTGTACTAGCATTGCCCGCGGCTCCGCCCGCGTTCAGATGATCAAAAACCAAATCCTTAAATTTTACATAGTAGTATACTATTACATTGCACTTTTTGTATTTTTTCTCAAAAATGAGATATTTTCCCGCGGTAAAAAGTATCCTATATGTTGACCCGGATAACCAGCTATCACCATACCAAATTTCATCAAAATCCCTCCAGTGGTTTTTCTGTGATGCCGTAACAGACAGACAGGCAAAAATTCTAAAAACTATAGATTCGGCCTCTGTATCGATAATAATGTCTATTTCAATAAGATTTTCCAAAAAATATTTAATGTACAGATTCGGCTTAGTTACAATTTTATTATAGGTATGTATAGATTAAGGGCTTCGATCAACAATACTACTGTTGATCGAAGATTAAGAGCGTGACTACTGTTATAAAGACAACTGTGTTTTTGCCTTTTAATTTTCTACATTGTATTTGCACCTCAAAAGTTTTTTCCTCTTGAATTGAAGAAAACAGTTTGTGACAAACGAAAAGACATGCATGTTATCTTACAAAAATTACATATTTTTCTTATTTAAGTTACGCGACCAAAAAATTATTATAATATTAATCTAAATTTTATTTGCAATAATATATCATTAATTATAATGTCTAAGCGTACGTTTTAAAGAACTATTATCAAAATGAATGGCACTGTAATTTATTATCTCTGGCCTACACTTGACAGTATATCGGTGTATTATCACTTCTAACAAGTTACTTCATTTAGTTGTGGAGTTTGAGCGTTTTAAAATCTATTATTTCGCCTCCGGGCTTGGCCTTCTCGGTGGAATCTTTTTAACATATCCTAACATATACCTATAATTAAGATCGTGTGTCGATTAATATTAAATATTAAAAAAAAGTTTTAGTTTTAGGGGTGGGTAGCTTCCTCACAAACTCTGACGCTCTTTCAGTAATTTCATTAGCGTTTGGCAATCTAGCCGGGCGCGAAATCAATAAACGCACTGGGAGGCGCCTCTCCTCGGTGGGCGGTGTGTCATGCGGGATGCTCCTGGTACTTACTTCTCTTATAGCAGAGGGGATCATGGGAACAACCCCCATGGTTGTTGTGGTCTGCTCTG